ATAGGTTGCAGCAAAGTCAATGTATCAGACTTAAGAAAAGAGACAGTTCCCATCTGTCACTAAATGTGCCCTTCGACCATTGAATGTTCCCAAGGCTTTTTGGTAGGTGGCAGAATTTAAATTCAACAAAGCCCTGTCTTGAATTGTGCAGTACTAGAGACTTTGGACCCAGGTAAAGAAAAACTAGCTCCATCCTGAGCTGTCAATGGAAGAGATCAGTGTCTTGATGATTGACACTATTATTTGATTTTTAAAGAAAAATATGCATTTTATTGTGTTGAATTGTGTTTTCCTCACAAGATGAAGCTTTCCTGTAGAAATCTTTTCTCCCAAGCTACTCTGCTTCCCATCAGGAGTGCCTGTCTGGGGCCAGGATTGGTCTACGCACACACCCTTCTGCTGGCTCTTCGGTGCTCTTTCCAAGCCTTTGGATTTCTCTGACCCATTTATTCAGGTGCAGGGGCCACCTCCCACCACACCCCCTACTCTGTGGCACAGCTGATGAGCACTTTTCGCCATCATTTATGCAGTAGGAGTCACAGCACAACAGTGACCACATGGCCCGGCCCTGACGGTACCACAAATGAATGAATCTGAACTGTGCTCCTGAATATTCAGAAAAACATAACCCCACCCCTAATTGCCTGCCTCTGGCAACCTCAGGGTCAGAACTGTAGATTTAAGAGAAAATGCTAAAAGCTCACATCTATTATCCCAGTACTTGGGAGGCTGATGCAGGAGGGTTACCGTGAATTTGAAGCCTGAACTACATTGTTAGTTTCATGACAGTCTGTTTCAAAATCGGGGAGAATATCACCATCATGCTCCCTATCTTAATTTCTAAAGGACAGTTTTAAGAGAAACCTGGTGTGCCTTTTACTTTGAATGAGTGTGCTCTGATTAGCTGGACACACAAAGGGAATGTTTGATCCTGGGGCTGTAACTGAGTGCAGGCCTTTCTGTGGTGTGAGGACCCTGGGGTCCACCGCATGGTGGTGCCTGGGAGGGCAGCCTTCCCTCCCAGGTGTCTTGCTGCTTTTCCTCTGCACAATTGTCATATATCTACACAAATATAATCACAAGTGTATGTCTCATGAGTGTCTCTAAAGTGCGTCCGTGTGTTCTGTGTACATAGGACCAAATGGCTTCTTTACAGAACCTCAGAGGAGGCCTTTCTAGGGACAGCAGGATAAGATTTCTGGGGTCTCCCTGCCCACTCCTCTCCACCTTCTGCTGGGAGAACCCTAGCAGCTGAGCCTCACCCTGCTCTGACCTGGTGATGTTCCTGAACGAAAAGAAACCATGAGTCTACTTTTCATAATACTCTCTTGTTCGTCATCAAGTTGACCAGAGAAGGAAAACACCAGAGATGGTGAGCAAATGAAAGATTGTGTCTCCCCAGATCCAACACAGGGTTCCTAGACTGTTCAGAGTGCCCTCCCCATGCCACCTGTCTGCTCACCTTGACTTACTGCCCCACCCACAAGCGTTAGTTCTGTGTGTCACAGAAACACTTGACAATTCAGTTTCTAGGTGGGAAGGTTCAGCCGGCTCCATTGCTGTGGGGCTGAGGTGAGGCAGAAAACCATAGCGGGAGCACATGGCAGCCAAGAAGCAGAGGGAAGGAGACAGGGACCATACTTCAAAGGCGTGCCTCAGTGACCTGCTTCTTCATCATCCGTTCATCTTCATCCATGATAAATTCAGAACCTTATGATCCAATCACCTCTCTGTTGAGCAAGCCTTCCGTCCATTTCATATCCAAACCACATGCCACATCAGCCCAGTTTTCAAAGACGCCATCTCAGAGTGTTTACATACAGGAGGAAAGGCAGAAGTGTGCCATCTGCGACTACACAACTACTTCATGCTCTCCCTGGTTCCAAAGACCATGTTTGGAACCACCACATGGCATCGGACCGCAGGGGCCTCTGCAGGTGAGGGGCAGTGAGCACTTCAGCTAGGTCCTGCCATCCTCACCTGCCAGTGGAGTCCTGCTGAGCCCAAGGAGGAAGAAACTGCCCTTGGCCATGTGGACATGCCCCAGTTCGTGGAGTAGGCAGATGGCCCGACAGTGTTACCTCACGCTTCAACGTAACAGCAATACCCCAGAACGGGGAGCCTGAGTTTATTCAAGTAACCCTGGGCCCAGTTCAAGAGCATATCAGATTACGTAGTATTTAGCAACAGTAAATACACAATGCCTCTATTTTTTAAAATCTGTTTTAAAAGTGTCAATCCACACTGGCTCTGACTTCTTGTAACTGTGCCCACTTTTCAAGAGGAAAGTGGTCCCTTGGTCCATTTGAAAGGAGATGGAAGAGTCCAGAGAGTATGCCTCTTCTCCATGCCATCCCTGTGACCCCACTTCCTCGTGCACCCTCTCTGGGGAAGAGGTCTCACAGAGTCACATCACTGGACAAAGACCCCACATCACACCTCACCTGAGAAAGATTATTGAAAGTCCAGGCTGAAGGGACTGTGGGGACGGGTGCTGCTGGGCTGTGTGGCGGGGCAATGCTGAGCACATTCCTGAGATGCAGCCCTCTCTCCTGCATGCACTTCAGGTGGGCACCACCTGTACAGACATTGGGCGTTTCCCACTGTCACCCTGTACCCTTGTGATGATGCCAACCTGGGCTATCATTCAGCACAGCATATTCCTTTTCATTATCACCCAGAACCATGAGGTTTGGGTACAGTAGACCCTTCCCCTCTTTCCAGGATGGATCCTGTCTAGCTTAAGCCAATTAAAGTATTTCATCCCTCTAGTCAGAGACACCAGTTCAAAAATATATTCACGTTTGTTTCCTAACTCAATTGTGAAGAGCCACCACCCCAACACTTAGAAAGATATTCCATCTTCCCTCTTCTCTAGAACTATAATGTAAAGCAGGGGCCTTATTGGTACAAGGCTATTAATGGCATTGAGAAGAGGGGCATAGGGAGGGCGCTGGGCTGGCCGAAAGGAAGCATTGAGCAAGGCATAGGAAACCCAGATCTGCAGTGATGTCATTGGGGATGCTGGATCAAACAGCACCTGAAGACTTGTTCCTGCTAGATTATTCTTCAATATGCTCCATCTATATCACTCGATCCAGCTCAGATAAAAAATTCAGTCACTTGGCAAGGATTCCAAACCACACTGTCCTTTCACCAGGGGCTTAATCATTCACAGCCAAAGAGGAGTTGGTCCTTGTACAATCAGTGGTGGCTCTGGCTGCCACTGGGGCAGGGGGAGGTGTGGGGAGGAGAGCAGTCCTCTAGTCCCAATCCAACAACTTCTTTGTTTTTTTTTGAAGATTTATTTCTTTTTATCTTATGTGTCCAAGTGCTTGCCTGTATATATGTGCGCTGTAGGAGTGCCTGGTGCCGGCATAAGCGAGAAGTTCAGATGCCCTGGAACTGGAGTTTCAGGTGGCTGTAAGTTGCATGTGCTGGAAACTAAACCCAGGTCCTCTGGAAGAGCACCCTTAACCACTGAGCCATCCTTCCAGCCCCACATCCAACAACTGAGCAGCTGTTCTTTTCAAACCTATCAACAAGAAGTCATATAGCTCTGTCTGGCCTCAGACCTCACATCACACAAACCCCGAGGGGCCGAGGATGGATCCCTCAGACCCGAAAGGCTCTTCTGAAAGCTTTCCCTTACAGATGAGACTGGGCACCTTCAGGGTGGAATGGCTGAAGACAAGGCTTCCCCTACAAAACAGGGATTGGACCTGAAAGACTGTGCATCTCCTCCAGAATCTTCCTTGGAGCTGACCGTGGTCAGAGGAAGCATGCACACCTGCCCTGGGGTTGCATACAACTAACTAAACTTGGGCCCACAGTCTCTGAGAAGGAGGCTCCAGGAGGGGGTACAGGGAGGTGTCCCTGTGACCAAGGCTTATGAAAAGAGAGAGCAGGGCCTCTGGCAGACAGCATCTGGGAGGGGGTTGTTGGTTACGGGGGAGCAGTAAGCGGGAGCTGCCCCGCCCCCCCAGAAGCTGTTTTCCCCAGTTCTCTTCCTGTCACAATTCAACAGTCACGGGTCAGGGCTGCCTTCTCAATACTTGGCTGAGCTGAGCTTGTCGCCCAGATCTGGTCAGAGCCTGAGAAGCTGAGCACAGGATGTTACAGCTCCCTGTGGCTGTTCTCAGGTTAGGGAGGGGCTGTCAGTCGGTTCGTTCCTCCCGTCATCCTAGGATGGGGTGCAAAGAGGAGGTGAGTCACAGCTTTCATCCAGAAGCCCTGACCATTGATGCCTCCTTCACACTTCAGCATCCTGCAATGTTCTCACCAGAGCCAACAAGACCATCGGACCCGCACCTGCTAAGCAGGGAAGCAGCCAGGGGATGGGGTTAAGAATGAAGGAGAACCCCTTCGAATAAGCCAAGCACATTCTTGAGCCACCTCCTCCTGTCTGGGCTCCGCCCTGTAGCAGGTGGGAGGACAATGTTGCCTGTGTGCCATTACCCCTGACAGGCTGGCAAAGGGGAGGGCCAGACTGTGGCCCCAGCTCCAGCCTGACCTTTCTGGTCCTCTCTCTCCCTCACTCCCCAGGCCCTGCTATCTTGTATCTCCATCCGACAGTGGGGCCTCCGAGCGAGGACCCAGACATCAACTGCCAAGGTGAGCTGCCCATCTTCCTTCTGCCTGCCAAAATTAAGCCAAAGAACAGGGACCAGTGGCTGTGGCATAGGACTAGCGGCAGGGGTTCGGAGAAGAATTTGGAAAGTTGGGGGTGGGGTGGCTCTGGGTCATTCAAGTGCAGGCTGCCAGTCAGGCTTCTTACCTGCTTAGGTTCCGACATAATTCCTACCCTTCATGGGGACCTTGGCAGGACAGGGCCCCAGACTTCTGGCAGGAGGTTCATCAGTACCCACAGTGCTCCCGAACCTCCATGCTCCCACCACCTCCAGACACGGGGAAATGTCCAGTAGCCATTCACCCTCAAAGAGCTATAGGTCCAGAGGCTAGTTGTCCCCTCAACCCTCCAGCTCCTTAGCAGAGGTGTCCCTGAGGAGGAGACCCAGGCCCGCAGCTCAGCCCTGCTGAGTCCAAGTTTGGCAATGGACTCTGAGTATGAGATTGGCCATGTCCGCAAGCTCCAGGCTCAGCATGCACAGATGCAGGAGAAGACCTTTACCAAATGGATCAACAACATCTTCCGACTGGGCCGGGTAAGTATGGCCTGGGTGCCTCCAGTTCTGGCCAGTGACCTGGGGGCCTGCTGTGAGATCCCTGGCTTGTAGATGCCCCTGGCCTGACCTCCTGGGCTTTAAAATGGAGTGAGCAGGAGATGCTGGGCTGACCCCACATCTGCTCCAATCCATTCCCCAGGTGGGCATCAGGATCCAGAATCTGTACACAGAGCTTGCTGACGGTGCCCACCTACTGCGGCTGTTGGAGCTTATCTCTGGGGAGGCCCTGCCAACGCCCAGCCCAGGCCGCCTACGTGTGCACTTCCTTGAGAACAGCAGCCATGCACTGGCCTTCCTCAGGGCCAAGGTTTGTTCTGGGAAGGGGGTTCTGTGTGGACAGCTGGGTGAGCAGCAACCAGAGGTCATCATATGAGGGCTAGGCCTCAGACTGAGCAGGAGATCTGGGCCTGAATACAGGAGGTGTAGCCGAGGCTCAAGAGCCAGCAGCAAAGCTGTCCTTGCACGGTGCACTTGACTTAGCCGGCCACCAGCTGGCCACAGCAGGAACAATCTATATCCCTATCAGGACTGAAAACATCCCTGTCTGATAAGGGAGGATTGCAGCGTTCTTGGCTGAAAGTGTCTGAGTGTTCTTAATCTTCTCATTTCTTAATCCTGGACATATAGATCCAGAATGATTTATCAGTCAGGATCCATGATCAGCCAAGTAGCCGGGCCCAGGTGTGCCCACAGGAGGTTGGCATAGAGAAGGGTTTTAGGAGGGCACCAGAGTCACCTGGGAAAGACACAAATCAAAGAGAGGGTCATTAAAAAGAGGCAGGAGTTCCCACGGCACAGAGGGGCCCTCGTGACAGCGCCACTGGGCTGTGCAGGACCCTTTTATATTGATGAACTGGCTCCTGGCCTTGGGAGCTGAAGATGGGAGGTAGCTGGCCCAGAAGTTGTGAAGCCATGGAGCTGGCCCAAGCTGGGCTGAGCCTAAGTATGCCTGGCTCCTGTGTCCTGATGGAAGTGACATGCAGCACCCTAGAGCCGAAAGCAAGGGAGACAAAAGCCACTGGAGGGGGAGCAACTGTGGTTCCCCAGCACCTAGAGCAGCAGAAAGCCGGGCCCTGTTCAGATCCAGCGACAATGGCCCTATGGGCCAGCCGTCCCCTCCAGGAATCCAGATGGATGTGAGGCCTGCAGCTCTTCTTGAGCTGGTGGTGGTGGTGGTGTTGTTTTAGACAGGTCACGTGTGCAGCCTAGGCTACTCAAAACTCCTGTGTCATATGCTGGCCTGGAACTCTTGACCCACCTACCTCCACATCCCAAATACTGGGGTTACAGGAATGTACCTCCACACCCAGCTTCCTTATGAGTTTGTTATACAGCAGGCCACTGACCCTTGTGGAGGTGATATCCTCGACTCTCTAGCCATCCGAGGTGACTGTAGTCAAGACTGGATGAAGGAGTTGCCCCAAAGCCCAGCTCAACCACAGCTTTAATTCCCCTAGAGTCAGTTGTTGAGTAATTCCTGGGCTGGGTGTGGTGGTTCCCATCATTAGTCCCAGCACTAAAGAAGCTGAGGCAGGAGGATTTCAAGTTGGGGCTACCTTGGGTAACACAGAATAATAACATAAAATAATAACATCTCAACACCTATATGCACAGACACCACCACCACCACCACCACCACCACCACCACACCACAGTCTGTATATTTGCTGATTTCCTCCCATCATGATCAAGTTCATTGATCAGCTGATATTGCTAAACCTGAAGCTGGGAGAATTGATGCTGGCGAGCTGGAACAGACACGCTCTCCTTTAGCCGGGTGTCACACCTCCACACTAAGGTGAATACAGAGGGATGAGTGGGCCAGGGAGAAGGGGAGGTGCAGGCTGCGATCCTCAGAGACCTGTGAGGTACAGCAGAGTTCACCCACAAGGTACAGTGCTAGTGAAGTTCCTCTCGCAGGCCCGGTGAGCCGCTCACAGCTGTTCTGGTCTTACAGGGCGTCTCTCCTTTGTTCGTTCAGGTCATCGTTGTGACCTGGTATATGCCAGTAATAAAATTCTATGAAGAACTGAGGATGTAGTGGGGAGCGAAACCAGCACCCCCACCGTGGGAGTAGTAGTGTATATTGGGTGTTTGTTTATGTAGTAGGAGACAGCAGATGCATGTGTCTAGGTAGGAGGGAAAGTCACAGTTTCAGCTTCAAATAAGATGGTTGAAATGGGCCATGTGGGCAAAGCGACACCAAACTGGAGGCTGAAAAGATGAAAGGAGAGTAATCGTGTGGACATCTGGGGGGTCATATTTTCAGACAGCTGAGACAGCCAGCCTGTGCCAGGACTCTAAGGCCTGTGTTAGAATCAGGCACCAGGGTTGCCACAAGCAAAGCCGGAGTCCTGATCTCAGAATTCTTCTGCCTTGGTGCCACATGATTCGGTAGAGAAGATGGAGCCAGAGGGTACCAGGCAGATCCTGTGAGGCCCTGCTCTATCTGTCCTGAATTAACCAGTCCTCTCCTCTAAGGAACAAGATCTAGACCAGAGGTTTCACCCTTATGCTCACAGAGTCATCCACTGTTTGCTCAAATGCAGATTCCTGGGGCTGGGCTCTAGAGAATCTGGATGGATGGAGTTGGGGACCCTGAATTCCTAATAGTTCTGTTGGAGTTGAAATACTGACTGAAGACTGAGGTTTAGGGGTGATCCAGGGACCCAGTGACCCCCTTGAGATGCAGTGGCAATGGGAGGAGGAGGCACAGACCCTGGCTGTTGTCTATTTAGCTCACTTGAGACCCCCCCATTTCCACGTATGAGGGTCCACTGCCCAGGCTAGTTTACCTGCTTCGAGAACACCCAGGGAGACTTGGGCCAATGTCCCAACTTTTCAGAAAGCTGTCCTTTTCCTGACATTGTCCACTGCCTGCTCTCCCTGGAGGACCTCTGGCTGGAGGAGGCTGGATTCTAGGACCTTCCCATCTCACAGCCTCCTGGACTCCAGGTTTCTCAGGAACAATCACCCATGCCCACAGGTACCCATACCCTTCATCGGGCCAGAGAACATTGTGGATGGAGACCAGTCACTCATCCTGGGACTCCTCTGGGTCATCATTCTGCGTTTCCAGATTTCTCACATCTCCTTGGACAGGGTATGTCTCTTTCTCCTGTATCTCATGGCCTAGCCCAGCCCTGGCTTCACCTCAGGCCCCTCAGGACAGAGCGGTTCCACCCTTGGTGTTCATTAAATGAACGTTCACTCTTCATCCGGGGCAAAGAACCCAGGATGTCGCCATGTGCTGACATAAGAAGTAGTCAGGACTTCATACTGACTGGGGACAAGTCACTCACTGGTGACAGGCAGAGTAGCTGGCCACCAACCGCTTCCTTTCCTGGTTTGTTGCTTGGCACTGAATCCCTGCCTTCACTATGCCGTGATGTCCCAGCAGAGGAGATTAGATATACAAAGGGACCCTAGGTCAGAGGTTTATGAAGTCCCCAGGGTCTTGAAGACCACCGAGGCAGTATTTTCTATGTCTCCATCTTTTCCTATCCCTTCTTTCCCCCTCCAGCTGGGCCAGAAAATACAAGCAGAATGTCCTTATATCAAGTGTCTGTTTTATGATTTCCAAACACCACCCCCAACTCCATGCCAGTGGGTTGGACAAGCCAAGCTGGAGAGTGAGACCCTAATAAAAAAGTCATGGGTCTGAGACTTCCGGGAGGCCTCTCAAACTCCATGAGATGGCTCAGTGGGTAAAGGTACTTGCTGCTGGGCCTGACATCCTGAGTTCAGGTCCCAGCGCCCTCAGCAGCCACCTCAGGCCCTCTCCCTGGTTAGCTGGGATCCGGGACAGTGTCCTGTTACACACTTCACCGGCCCCACCAGAGGAAATGGAATATATAAAGAGACTCCACCGCAGTGGTGTATGGAGGTGTAGAAGTACTAACAGTGGCCACAGAGGACAGAGGGCTGAGGTAAAAAGGCTTGTGCCTGGGGTGACAGGAGTGTAGTGAGGCCCACCTTGTCTTCTGTGAGGCCTCAGGTCAGTTAGCTTCATGGCTGGCCCATCAGAAGGCTTGTTGGTTAGTGAAAGGAGCTGACACATAATTACTCTTCAGGAATTAGCTTTATTAGGAAGGGCCTTGAGGTGGGGAAGTATGAGAAAGAAATATACTAATATAGTACTAAACATAGTACATTACACTAAAAATACCATGACAGGGACTAAAGGGGGAAAAGAGACTTTCTTTTAAAACCTGGAGTGGTAGACCATAGGCCTCCTCCTTAGACTTGATCTCATACCCTGAATCGGATCACACCTCCCTGCCGCTCCTTCTGGGACAGTTATGGAACAATCCAGGCCGTGGCTTGGCAGCTCTCAGTGTATGATATGTGTGGCTCCTCTATGTTCCTGGCCGCATACGCTATACTGAACTAAGTCACCTGCTGCCAATCTTCCTACCATCCCTAAAAGGTTATATATATTTTTTTTAAAAAACAAAACAGGTTTTTCCTTTGTCCTGGGGATCTGCCCGAGACCCCTTGGGAAGACTGCTTGGGCGTTTGGTCCAGAGATGAAGGCTGCTATCTGAAGAGGTTCCTTTGGCCTTCCCCCATCATCCCTTCCATGGGGAGTCTCAGTGTGCCCCTGCCCCCCCAATCTCTCCCTATACTTGCATTTTCACTCTTTTTTATTTATTTATTCATTCATTCATTCATTCATTCATTTATTCATTCATTCATTCATTTATTTATTTATTATGTATACAGTGTTCTGCCTGCATGTATGCCTGCATGCCAGAAGAGGGCGCCAGATCTCATTACAGATGGTTGTGGTTGCTGGGAATTGAACTCAGGACCTCTGAAAAAAGCAGCCAGTGCTCTTAACCCCTGAACCATCTCTCCAGCCCACATTTTCACTCTTAATAAAGCCCCTGTCCAGGCTTCAAAGCCTCTCCCTTGCTGCAGCCTGCAGGTTCTGATGCCTTCCGCCCACCCAGCACATTGACCACACGGCCCTGTTTCCCAGGAGGAGTTCGGGGCCGGTGCAGCTTGGCTGTCTGCTAAGGAAGCCCTGCTGGTGTGGTGCCAGCGCAAGACGGTCAGCTACCCCGATGTGAACATCACTGACTTCTCCCGCAGCTGGAGCGATGGGCTTGGCTTCAATGCCCTCCTCCACGCTCACAGGTGCATCCACACACCCTCTGCAGCCCTGGGCCTGGAGAGAGAAGGACAAGTGGGGCCATAAATGGAAAGTACCTGGGTTCGATCCCTGCTCTAGGCCTGCCCCTCCTCCTTCCCTTAGGGGCCAGAGCCAGGAGCTTTGCCTTTGACCCCTCCTGCCTCCTCTACATCCTGTGCTTTGTTTCTTCCCTGTCCTCTCTCTAGCTAATGTCTGCCCTTTGGGGATGCCCGACCACATCCTGGGTCCTAACCCCTCTGCTACATTAACCCTCCCTCCCATCAAGCTTTCCTGTACTCCAGCCTGAGGCTCACAGAACCATCCGAGGAAAACACTGTCATAATAAGCAGTGGATGGTTGATGTAAGCCAAAACATGCCGATCTTCTGAGGAAGCTTCCTGCTCTCTGCCCAGGCCAGACCTGCTGGATTATGGCTCACTGAGTCTGGATCATCCTCTGCACAACCTCTCCTCTGCCTTCCGAGTGGCTGAGCAGGAGCTAGGCATTGCTCAGCTGCTGGACCCTGAGGATGTGGCAGCCCCGCACCCAGATGAGCGCTCCATCATGACCTATGTGTCCCTGTATTACCACTACTTCTCCCAGCTGCACCAGGGCCAGACGGCCCAGAGGAGGCTGGCTAAGGTTGGTGAATGGGGGCGGGGGTCAGGTCTGTCTGACTGGCTGTCCCCATGCCTTACTGGCTCCATGGCCCTAGCCAAATTGCCTCACTTCTCTGTGCTCCATCTGTGACATAGTAGTTACAACTCCTGACTGATGGAGGCTGTTCTGAGTGTCCAAGGGAGTGTTAGTAAAGTACCTAGCATGGTTCCTGGCATACATGAGAAGCCAGGGGAGCAGTGGCCCTTTCTGGCCCTCTGCCTCCACTGCCCTCAAAAGCTGTTCAGCTTCTAATGGGATTAAAAAGCTTAGAGAACTAAATCTTGGAGGACAGGCGTAGCAGAGGCTCTGTTGAGCAGGCGCGGCACTGAGTTCATGCTTTTGGGGGGCTCTCTCACACTATGGAGGCGATGGCAGAGTCTGAGACCCGGAAGGGCGGTCCTCAGGGTTAGTGTCCTAATGTTGGTGTGGGGTCAAGAACTGGGAGCTGGTTTAGGGGGTGGGGGGCACAGGGAAGAAGGGACAAGAAGGCTGAGTGGGGGGAACGGCCTGTAGGGCCTCAACCTGCACATGAGGCTGAAGGAGCAAAATCAGATGGAGGAGGGCAAGACGTGGTCTCAGTCCAGTTGTCGAGCGAGTATTGCAGACTCCTGGGTCTGAGTGTACAATGTCCCTGACACTCTGCGGGCTGCGAGGGGGGATATTTTTGTGCATCCTCAGCCGAGAGAAGGAGCGCCAGCCTACCTGGACGGCTCTGCCTGGCTCTTAGCGCCCAGCAGTGGGGCTTTGGATCTGAGGCCCGCCCCAGGTGCGGCTGACCAGTGCTCTGCCCCTCACCAGATCCTGCTGCAGCTTCAGGAGACAGAGGCACTACAGGCTCAATACGAGCAGCTGGTGGCTGACCTGCTCTACTGGATTGGAGAGAAGCAGATGCAGTTGGAGGCGCGGGACTTCCCAGACTCACTGCCTGCCATGCGCCAACTCCTGGCAGCCTTTGCCTCCTTCCATACCCAGGAAAAGCCACCTCAGCTGCAGCAGCGAGGAGCCATAGAGGCTCTGCTCTTCCAGCTGCAGACAACACTCCGAGCCCAAAACCGAAGGCCGTTCCTACCTCGAGAGGGCCTGGGCCCTGCAGACCTGGCTCAGCGCTGGGCGGAACTAGAGAGGGCAGAGGCCTCCAGGAGCCAGGCCATGCAGCACAGGCTGCTACAGCTAGAGCGACTGGACACTCTGGCCCACCGCTTCCGGTGCAAGGCAGCCCTCCGGGAAAGCTTTTTAAATGAGTCAGAGCAGATGCTAGACCAGGCCAGAGCCTCCCTCATCGAGCCAACCACAGGGGAGGCAGCCACTCAGAGGCTGAGCATGTTAGAGGCTAGCATCCTGCCCCAGGAAGGGCGCTTCCAAGCCTTGGGCGAGATTGCAGACATCCTGCAGCAGGAACAGTATCACAGCTGGGCAGATGTGGCCCACAGGTGAGCTCCAAGCAAGTGAACCCATCCTCAAAGCGAGCCAAAGTCTCCCCACCACCTACAGAAGAGTGGGGTGGTCTGTGGTTTCTGGGTTCCTGCTAAAGAGATAATCCCATGGATGCCCAGATTCACACCAGGTGCCACTTACACTCTGCTCTTTCTGGCTAGCCTCTCAGCAGTCAGCACACTCACCAAAGAGGCATTTATTTAGTGCCCACTGTATCCCTACACACCATTATCAAACATTTAGCAGTGCTGCGGGCAAGCAAAAAATCCCTCCTGCCGCTTACAGCATCCTCACGGAAAGCAAGAAAGAAAATAAATCGAGTATGTGAGCGCAGTTTAAAATATAGGGGCTGGGCCAGGTGTGGTGGCGCACGCCTTTAATCCCGGCACTTGGGAGGCAGAGGCAGGTGGATCTCTGTGAGTTGCAAGGCCAGCCAATTCTCTACAGAGCAGGTTCTAGGCCAGCCAGGGGGCTACCTACTGAGACCCTGTCTCAAAAAACAAACAAACAAAAAATTAGGGTCTAGAGTCTACCTCAGTTGGTAGCATATGTGTAGGATGCACAAGGCCCTTGGTTCAGTCCTCAGAAAATAAATGGAAGGAAAGAAGGAAGGAAGGAAGGAAGCAACCATGGGACTGTGAGAGGCCAAGGCAGGAGGATGTGAGTTGACTTTTGAGTAAAGACCGGAGAGAAGCCGGGAGGTGGTGGCACACGCCTTTAATCCCAGCACTCGGGAGGCAGAGCCAGGTGGATCTCTGTGAGTTCGAGGCCAGCCTGGACTACCAAGTGAGTTCCAGGAAAGGTGCAAAGCTACACAGAGAAATCCTGTCTCGAAAAACCAAAAAAAAAAAAAAAAAAGACCAGAGAGAAGTGAGCACACTGGTTGTGTCTATATGGGGGACAGACTGTCCTGAGCAGAGGGAATGGCAAGAATAGCACCCCAAGGTAGTTACACACCTTTCAAGATTGAAAAGTGGGGGTGGGGCACATGACCAGTCACAGGAGATGAGGGAGAGGAATGGAGGTTAAGCTGGGCCTTAACTAGTAAAGCAAAAGCATTTTGGTTGATTTGTTTTTTCTTTTCCTGAGTCCTGAGCAGAGGGGTGCCACACTCTAAGTGTTGGCCTGTGATCACCTGCAGGCTGTGCTAGGGCAGGTTGAAGGGGTAAGGGCTGAAGTAAAGAGCCCATTATGAAGCTGGTGTAGAGTCCTGGGTGGAAGGCAGCGGGATAATGAAAAGTGATGGCATTCTGAATACGGCTTTCTAGTTTGCTTTTGAGGCCGGGTCTCACAGAGGCAGAACTCACTATATAGACAAGGCTGGCTTCACAAAACTGTGGCAATTCGACCTCTCCTCCTGGGTCCCGGGATTACAAGTGTGATAGCCCAGATCAATGGATATATTTGGAAGATAGGGCCAAACAGGATTTGCAGACAGATCCAGGGTTAAGAAACAGAGCTGTCATAGTTTCAGTCCGTGTGCCTGAAAAGGTAGTTTTCATCCATAGAGATGAGGGCTAGACGTGAGGGAGGTGAGGGTCTGGACATCTGAACCTCCCAGGCTCCCTCTGACTGTGAACACACTCTCCCAACCATCTGTGTCAAGCTGTTCACATCCATACCCTACCCTGGCTCCCCAGGTGCCAGTGTTCCAGGCCAGCCAAGCTCCCTTGCCCCCAGCCTGCTGGAGCTCGCCCTTTCCTCCTGTTATCTAGGCAGAAGGAGATTGCCCGGCGCTGGCAGAAGATCCTGCAGTGTCTACAGGAGCACAGGAAACAGATCGCAGGCTCACTGGCTGTGCTGAGCCTACTGGAGGAGGTGGAGGCTGCCACTGACCAGCTTGGGGAGCTGCAGGTGGGCAGATCAGCCAAACTCTGGGAGTCTCCCCCCACCCCACCCCACCTGCACTGGTGCTGCTCACAAGTTGGGTACCTAGATGTGCACTGACCCCTCATCTCTGGCCAGGTGCTGGCCAGCTCCACAGCCTGTGGGCAACAGCCAGCAGAAGTAGTGTTACTGCTGCAGAGGCATGACCTGCTGGAGGCCCAGGTCTCAGCCCACAGGACCCAAGTGAACCGTCTTGCCCAGCAGACAGCACAGCTGGACTCCTGCCAGGGCACCAGTGTGCAGATACTTCAGACTAAAGCCCTGGCACTGGCCGAGCTTCACCAGAGCCTCGTGTCTCTTGTCAGAGCCCGGTAAGAGGCCACCCCAACTCCTCACCCGTCTGTAGAACTTCCCTTGAAACTTTAATTATCTCCTGCCCAAACAGAAATCCTGGTCTGGCAGCCTCCTCTACACGGCTCCTGAGCTCTCAAGCATGGGTCTTAACTTGTTAAGCCATTCTGGGGGAAAATCCTGCCTAAGGGGCGTGTCTGTATTCTGCTCTTCCCCAAGCCCTTTCATGGCCCTTCTGACCCTCAGACGCGGCCGACTGGAGCAGACTCTGCAGCTGGCACAGTTCCTGCACAGCTGTGAGGAGGAGGAGGCCTGGTTGAGGGAGCACAGACAGATCATGGAGAAGGCAGCCCTGGGCCGGGACCTCACTCAGATCTCTACCGCTCTGCAGAAACACAAGGTGTCCCCTCTGTGACATCCCGACCTCCTTGCTTGTCAGGCTTGGAACTCCGGGCGTCACCCTCTCTCTCCCTTCACAACCCACACCCCTAACCCTGCTAGGTTCTGGAAACCGAACTCTATCGCCACCAGTCTGTGTGTGCAGATCTCATGCAGAGGGGACGCAACCTCAGTGTCAGAGGGCCCCCGACACAGCCAGATCCTCTGGAAAGGGCAGAAGCTGTGCAGGGAACTTGGCAGTTGCTCTGGACTGGAGCCACAAGGAGGCGCGCCCGGCTGCAAAGTGCACTGTTGGTTGGCCAGGTAGAACGTGCGGGGCGGGGCGGGGCGCGGGCACCTGCTCTCTCTCAACTCTTCCCCACCTCCCCACAGTACTTTTCTGACTCAGCCGAGGCAGCTTCTTGGCTTCTCCTACGGCAGAAGCAACTGGAAAGCGCATCCTGCGGGAAGGACCAGGCAGAGGCCGAGGCCCTGTTGCAGCGCCACCTGCTCCTGGAGCAAGACGTGCGCGCCTTCGGGGCGGAGCTGCGCGAGCTAGAGGGTCGGGCGCGGACTGCTGCAGCCCTGGTGTCACTCAAGGTGCGTTCCTGAACCTGGGAAGGACTCAGACTCATGACTCCTACGCTAAATGTGAGGCACACGCTCCTCCCTCAATGAGGGTCTTTGTGGTCCTGCCCAGAACTGGTCGTGCACTCCACCCCCCACTCAACCCCACCCCTGCTCCCATCCCCAGTCTCAGGTGATTTGGAATTCTGTCTGTGTACACCAGTCAAAGGCATCAGGGATAGCTGGGCTTGGCTCAGTCTGCCCAGCACAGTTCAAGAAAGTTCTCCCCCAAAGCCTTATTTTCACGACCCTTCACCCTGAAGTCCCTTTTGGGTCTCTGATTTGACAACCCTAAAGATGCCCCACATCCTTCTCCCCTTCTCCGCCCAGCCCTGCCCTATGCACTCTTTAAGCTGCATTTAGGGCCTCCAGATTGCTTCACCTAACCTGGCCATAAAATTGGTAGATGGATGCAGGAAAGACCTTGGCCCAGCCTGCACATAGTGCCTCACACTCCCAGACCTTACTGACCCATGTCTCCCTATTCCTTTGTGTTTACTCCCAGATCGCATGATTAATAATTTTAAAGACAGATCTCTGTGTTAGCAAATTTCTAGACCACCACTACCACTCTTTACAAATAAGTTAATCAAGGTGAGATGGGGCAGGCGGCTCCCTGAGGACCCAGTGATCCCTGGCAAAGAGGCCTTTTGATCCTTCGTCCAAGGCTGTTTCTAAACGTACATACCCTCCCCACCCCTGCACCTGTGAAGCTTCACTCCTCGTACTTACATTACACCAACACAATGCTTTTGGTTCAGGGGATAGTGGTTTCTTCCTGCTCTGTGAATCCTGCCTTTCCAGTGTGTTACTTATTAAATGATGGGAGCTATCCCATCCCTTTTGTGTGTTCTCTGTCCCCATCTGGTGCAGGCAAAGACAGAGATCCCAGGGCCGGCATTCTGGCTTTGCTATTCTCACTATGGCAGGAGAGGTTTAGAGTCCGCCCATCTGCCTGGTGGGGAGCCACTTGGTCGCCTAAGCAGAGTCTTTGCTCCTTTCTACAGGAGGACCCCCCAGAAGACCGGAAGAAGCTTGACAGGGACGCAGCTGGAGAACCTCGGGGTGGGACCCGAGTTTTAGCAGCAACAGGCAGCCAGTATTCACACCAGCAGATGCCCCTCTCCTCCAGAGGTACAAGGTCATGACCTTTGTGCGAGCCTGAAGTCTGTCAGCAATGAGGGCAAACATCTTCCCTGTGGCTGTGTCTGGGGCATCCCAAAACGAAATGGAAGGAGCTCAGGGGAGGCCGTTTTGAGCTCTGCAGAGAGAAGTAACTGGAGCTATCCAGAAACACGCTGCGTTGCTCAGAGCAGCACGTTCCTGCTTCTAGACAGCCACAGGAAGGCGGCTTTCACAGCAGCAAAGCTTAGATGAGATGGTCACATCTGCTCCGTGGAGCTTGAAATTCTCTGGGTCCTCCTCTGATTTTTTTTGGTTTCTTCCTTTTTCTGTACCTACTCTTTTACAGTGTCCATGACCCATTGCTGAGCAGTGTGCTTGCTGCTGCTGCTGCTATCCACACTTGCCCAGGGCCAAAGAACAGAAAGATAGAGATGAGGCGCTCCTCCACTCACAGGGACGGGTGCTAGCCTGTGCTTCCTCTCTGCCTAGCTGCTGGCCACCACAGTGCTTTGCAAATGCTCCTTCTTGGGCAGACTCCAGTCGGCCTTGTCTTGCCCTCTTTAAATACCCAGACCATCTAGCCTTTCCTCCCCCTGGACACCCATGGTACTTATTTCACATGACAATATACCTTGCTTACCTAAGTATATCCCTGGATAGCGTCCTACCTGTTCTGGGTCTGCGAGCTTTGCAGTCCTGAGAGACTCGTGAGCCCCAATGGGAAGGTCCAGTCTCAGTCCTTTTAGCCTCTACAAGCTCTTCACAAAGGACCAGGCACAGGGAAGCAGTAGGTACCGAACCATTTGGGCTACCTTGTAGTGAGCCTGAGTAGGGAAGAGGAGGGCCCCAAGCAGCCCTTGAATCCTGTCCTCTCATAACATTGTATGTCTCTTGGCTTCCAGAAGAGGCCCTGAATACTTGGGAGCCGAAAGACTTGGGGAACAGCCAGGGCAGGGCACCCATCATCTGCAGCATAGAGCAGAACCCCCAGGTATGACCACAGACCCCATCTTGGTGGAGATCTGCTACTTGGTAGGAGCTGGGTGTGGACACACTGCCTTCCTTCTGCACAGGTGGAGTCTGCCCTGAGCCTTCTGGGGGAAGGCCCAAGGATGACTCTCCAGAATGAATATGACTTTGATGTAGACTCCAGCACCATACTCCAGGCACAGGCTCACTTGAGCCAGAACTATGAGAACCTACAGGCCCTGGCAAAGGTAATGCTCTTTGTTCAAGAAATGTCCATAGCTAAGCATGTGGCATATGTCTTTATTCCCAGTTGCTTCCAAGGTAGGAAGATTGTGTAAATCCAGGTGTCCATGGCCAGCCTGGGAAACACAACAAGATGAAAAACTCAAAAAAGTGAAATCATGCTTGCCTGGCAGACTTGAGGTCCTAGGGTTCAATCCCTCTACCAAAAGAGAGAGAAGGGACGGGAGGTTAATCATGCCTCTACCATAAGCTAGAGCAATGTTCTCAACCTGTGGGTCATGACCCCTTTGGGGTCAAATCACCCTTTTACAGGGGTCACATATCAGATATCCTGCCTATAAAATATTTACATTATGATTCATAACAGTAGCAAAATTAGTTATGAAGTAGCAATGAAAATAATTTTATAGTTGGGGTCTCCACGACATGAGGAACTGTAGTAAAGGGTCGCAGTATTAGGAAGGTTGAGAACCAGTGAACCAGAGCCTGTCCATGATTCCAGGAACAAAGCAGTGACTGACCTGTTCCCTGCTCTAAAGGAGCTTACATTATGACCAAGATGTCAACAAACCTTTAAATGGATGTGGTATGGTTGTGGAGTAAAGACTTGCTCCTCCTAGTGGCTTGGGATAGGCAAGGGGACACCCAAGACCTCTCTGAGTGCCCTCCCTCCGGAGGGGGCGCTGACCCTTCACCCTGACCCTGGGCTGCCTCTTCAGCTTCACAGGGCCCGACTGGAGGAGACCGTAGCCCTGTTTAGCTTCTCCAGCTCCTGTAGGGAGCTCCAGTCCTGGCTGGAGGAGCAGACAGCCCAGTTCCAAACATTGGAGCCCCAGGGTGACAACTTAGAGGTCACACAGCTCAAATGTGAGGTAAGCCGCTGAGCTAATGGAGACTGAAGTTGCCACCACCCTGGCATTGCTTCCGCCTCCCTATTCCTCAGTGTTTTGCTCCATTCTCCACATTTGCTCTGGTCCTGTCTGGGGAGGGTCCCAAGGCAGCAGGCCTGACTCGGAGAGCTTGGGACTCAGCTGCTTTCCGTCTCAAGGCGAGCAGGATGAATGTCTTGGAGCCAAGCATCCCAAGGCCCTTTGTGGTCCAAAGGGAGGATGGAGTGAGCAGAGCCTGCCTCCCAGGGGTCTGGGTTCTCCTTCTCCTCAGAACTTTCTCATGACCTTGGCCATTGGAAAAGGCCATTGGGCTGAGGTCATCTGCACTGCTGAACAGCTGAAACAGAGATGTCCAGGGCACACCTCGAAAATCCAGGAACAGGAGGAAGACCTGAACCAGAGGTGACAATGAGGGGTGGGGATGCAGGTAGGGCAGGGCCCTCGCTTGGTGCCTCCTACCCTACCAGGTAGAGAGGCTGGATAGTGTCAGAGACAGTGAGGATCGGGCAGAGGGCCACCAGCCTAGAAGCCTCTGTCCTGCTGGGCTTTGTCTAAGGCCTCAGCTGGGTAGGTGTCATTGGACGGATGGGAGGGGTCCTTGTGATCGATACATCCCTGTATCCTCTGCTCAGGTGGCAGCAGCTGGAGGCCCTGAAGGAAGAGAAAGGCCTGCAGCTGACGCACAGCACGGAGGTGTGCCATCTTCTACAGGAGGCTGAACCCACACGAGCCCAGCTGCTAAATGTGATAGGCAGGCTGGAGGTTCTGGGGCCAGGAGGCTCTGAAGACAGCCATCGTACCCTGCAGCAGATTCAGCAGAAGGTCCTGGGACTGGAGAAGAGGATCTCCTACCTCCAAAGAGCATCCATAGAGTACGGCCAGCTTTAGGATGGCGATGGTGGCCGGGGAGGCAGTGAGGGCGGAGGGAAGCCCTCGTAACATGAGGAAGGGGCAGGAACTGGGATGGGGAGAAGATGGCCAAGATGGGCTGTTGGAAGAGGGCTGGCAGAGGCATTCTCCTTGTCCTTCCTTCAGGACCCGAGAAAGCCTTGGATTGGGTCTGGCTCCCAACTCTCAGAGAAAGGGAGAGAGCCCCAGATCATGCTGCTTCTAGCTAGGGGTGGGGTGGACGTTCAGAATTGTCACCCCTTTCCCAGGAGACACAGGCCTGGGGTACTGACTGTAGTGGTTAACCTCCTGCAGGGTGATGGAGTCAGGCCCCCTGGAGGGCCAGCTGCTTCAGGAGCAGGTGCTGATGCTGCGGGCTCTGCTAACGCAAGTACAAGGGCAAGTGGCCCAGCAGGTCCAGGTCCAGACTGAGGCTCGGGGCCAGCGAGGCATCTTCCAAGAGAGCCAGAAGTTGCTTCTGTGGGCGGAGGGCATCCGGGCTCAACTGTGCAGCGAAGGGGAGCTGGAGGATGTGGCCTCAGCCCGGGAGCTGCTAAGGAAGCATGGAGGTCTACAGGAAGAGACCTGCCTGTGGCAAGAGAGGTCAGGACAGGCCTGGGGCGGGGGAGTGAGTTCATAAAAGGAAGGTCAAAAGCAATGTGATCTCCAGGGTCACGAGCCAGGCTGGTATCTAGCATGGTACTGCAGGCAGGTTTTCAGGAGATACCCTGGCCTACGTCAGGTCACCTGCACACTTTGGGAAGGGCCCCCAGACACTCTCCTTCAGGTGTGACGATGGTGCCCCCCAATCTAGCTTCCCATTCTGAGCAGCGCATACCCTGCTGGCCTCGACAGTCAAAGGGCCCAGTACCCACCAATGGGACTAAGATTTCTACCCCCTCACTTCCTTCAGAAGTGATGTGCAGCCCCATGAGCAAACAGAGGCACCATGTACAATCCTCAGGCTGCCCTGCCCTCTGCTCCAGGGAGCCTGACAGGTATCAAGTGGGCCCTGAGAGACGGACATGTGCCTTCCCCTTGTCTCACACACACACACACACACACACACACACACACACACACACACACACACACACACACACAGCTACTTTCGGGTTGCAGCGCAGAGGAAACGCTGGCTTTTCCTGCCTCCCACAGTCCGGCCACCTGTCTCCAAAATGCGGGGGCAGCATCCAGCCCGAAGGAGCAACTGCTCTGTTGGGTCAAAGGTTCCAGTGGCCCTGCCAGCAGGCGTGTGTGGATTGAGAGATTTTTGTTGAGTTGTATCGTCCCAGCATGCCACTCGCCATCTACAAAGAGGACAGTGTGACATGGGTCCTGGGCAGTCCACCGGGCCCGCTGCATTCCATCCTATTCACAGGCCAGGACACAGCTGTCCGGTGAAAAAGCGAACCCATAGGACTAACCGGCCTGCCACCCTCACTTCAGAGCTCTGTGATGAAGGGCTGGAGGAGCTGGTGAGGAGGGTCAGCTGTGTTCTGATGCTATGTCTGTTGTTTTACACAGGCTGCGGCAGCTAGAGACTCGGGGCCAGCTGGTGGCAGTCTCAGACTCCCCACAGTCCCAAGAGTTGGCCAGTGCCCTAAGGCTCCTCGGCCAGCAGGGCCAGCAGCTGAAGGCTGTGTGGAGGCAGAGGCAGCAGAAGCTTCGGGACAGGCTGGAGCTGCAGAGGTTTGGCCAGGAAGTGGATAGTTTCATTGACACCTGTGCCAGCCACGAGGCCTTCCTGCACCTGGACAATCTGGGGGTAAGGAGTTGGGCAAGTAGAACTGTCATCCTACTGCCTCTAGAGGGAGCTGGCCTCCTTGGGTCTAGAAGCCAGGGTGGGCAGGAAGGCCCGGAGGATGAGCTGACCTCAGGTCTCTGCACCAGGAGGACCTAAGAGAGGCCCAGAGCCTGCTGCAGCAGCACCAAGGTTTTGGGTGGCTCCGGAGCACCCTGGGATCTCGGGCTGAGGCCCTGCGGGCCTGTGGTGAAAAGCTGCTTCTGAGCCAGCACCCGGCTGAGCACAAGTGAGCCATCTGCCTGCTGCTGTCTCTGCACCTGGACAGACTGCTGCCCCAGGCCCGGTGGGGCGGGGTTCCCTTGGGCTGGGGGGAAGGGGGCTCAGGCAGGGAAGAGCCTTCTCCTCCCCCTCTTCTCCAGGATCAGAGAGATGCTGCACAGTGCCCAGACACAGTGGACCAGGGTCCAGGAGAGGAGTGAGCAGAGAAGGGAGCAGCTGCTGGCCTCCCTCCAATTGCAAGTGAGTCCCTAGGCTGCAGGAGACCAGCCCACAGCTGCACTGAGGCAGGAGGATCCTGTCTACTGGGCACTTTCCCAACCCTTGGGTGTTTCCAAGAGGACGCTGGAGCTGTGGTCACTGGGCTTCTCAAAGGACCCCTTGACCACCTGCCCCTCTCATCCTACTACATACCCGCCCTCACTTCTGACACACCAGGGTTTGCATGGGTGAAGGAAAGGAGCTACGGAGCAGCTTTGATGCTCGTTCAGGCCCTAGGGCCAGGCCAGGCCTCCAAAAACCTCAAACCATTTAGATCAAGAACCACATGAGATCTGGTGTCGTCTGTGGGGTGGGACCTGATAGGCATTTCTCTTTCTGGGCACAGTGTCCTTGCCCCATTTGGGGATCAGCAAAATCCAAGCTCTACCTCCCCTGTACCCAAGAATTGGCTCTGGGTCCTGTTTTCCCCCCCCCAGTGCCCCGCTCTCTAGAGGTAAGTGTACCATCCCTCCCCCTGGACCCTGAGACCCACCATCTCCTGGTTCTCGGGCAGGAATGGAAGCAGGCTGTGGCGGAGTTAATGCTGTGGATGCAGGAGAAGTGGCCCACGGTGGCCGATGAACCCCCCCAAGCATGCAGCAACATTCTGAAGGAACTCAAGTGGCACGAAATGACTAAGCGTGAGCTATCAGCGACCCGCGGGTACATGCAGGACCTACAGCAGGTGAGGATGCTTGAAAGAAGTGCAGGGCCCTCTTGTCTTCAGATTCCCAGCACACTGCTCTGCCTACTTCTATGGAGCACAGTCACTGGAAGAAGGGTCCCCTCTGCCTCCTTCACTTAGCTGGGTGTCCCCCTAGATAGGCCCCCAAATCTGCTCAGAAAGCCGCCGCCATTCCAGGGAGCGAGTGGAAAACAGTTGTAGCCAGCAACCTGCCCTTTGCCCCTGGGTGCAGCAGGCTGTGGTTGGTGGTGGTCCTGGTAGCTCAGCAAAATAGCCCGGGTCTTTGTCTCCACTCCAGGCTGGGAGAGAGCTGTTGCACGGCCACCCTCACGCACAGGAGGACATACAGGCCAGACTCCAGGGCCTGAGTCACAAGTGGGAAGAGTTGGACCACAGGATGGCAGAGCAAGGGGACAGGCTGCTGCAGACCAGACGGCAGGGGCAGCTCCTGGAGCTACTGCAGGTCCCTGGGGAATGTGGGATGGGGGCGAGGACACAGAGGGAAGACCAGGCTTGCCTGGGAACAGGCAGAACAGAAAGAGCTGGAAGAGTGCCCCACCACCATCATGAAGTCCTGTACAGAGCTCTGGCCCAGAGTAAAGCATGGCTTTGCCCAGCAGCAGGCCACTGCCAGAGTAACTTCCGTGTGTCTAGCATGTGATTATCACAACTTCCTCCAGAGAGGAAGGTGCACAAGCAGGTGGTTTGCACACTACGAGCTCGGAGGACATGATGGGTCCCTGGTGAATCTGGGGCTAGGAGCACTGTAGACTTCGAGCCCCGGCAGGGTTGCCTGCTGAGCTGCAGTGGAAAGGTGAATGCAGCCTCTTGCCACCCTCCCCAGGATGTCAGGGAGATGCTGGAGCATCTGGAGGGAGCCCTGCAGAGAGCAGAAACGGGACAGGACCTGTACTCCAGCCTGAGGCTGCAGAAACAGCACTGCCAACTAGAAGATAAGAGCCAGGCGCTGGCCAGCAAGATGGCTGCCCTCATCTCTCAGACCCACAATGCGTTCACTTCCCTGACCATCCTGGAGGAGAGCCAGAAGTGTCACCAGAGGTGGCCATTCCATCTTCATCTCGAGGGCCATGCTTCCCCCTCCACACACGCCTTGGGAACCTAAGGACTGAGTGGCACCTAAAGGACCTGAGCGCATCCAAACCTCCTTCCCTTCTGAGTAGTCATTCTGGGGTGGGGCAGCCTCACAGGATTTCCTCTGTTCCCTGACATTGTTTTTCATGGGTCCCTGGTGGGGATGAGGAAAGGACCATGACCTTGTCTTTATTCTTTCCCCCAGCCTCTTCATCTTTTCTCCTACCAGGTTCAAGGCCCTGCAGAGCAGGCTGGCCACCCGGCGCATGCAGCTGCAGGCCTCAGTTGAGCTGCACCAATTCAACCGCCTTAGCAACCTGGAACTCACATGGGTGGCTGAGCACATGCCCGGTACCGGTCCCACCTGCCCCGCCCATTGCTGGCGCGATGTCCAGCGCCTTCAACGTAAGCACAAGGTAGTGTCACCTGTTCCCTCCCAGGGCCCCAGTATCTCATCCCCAGAACTTAGAACCCCCACTCCCTGCCACTACTACCTGGCCTCAAAATCCTTCTCCCTGGGTGTCCTGATTTCCAGATCCACTTTGCTCCAGTTGTCCTTAGCCTGGTGAACCTAGAGACACATCGACGATTCTAATCTGGACATGTGTGGCTGAGGGAATCCCATTGCTCTGTGGCAGGTGCTCCAGGCTGAGGTGAAAGCTCACGTGGGACACATGCATGGAGTACTAAGTTCTGGCCAGAGTCTAGCAGCCTCTGGGCACCCCCGTGCTCAGCACATTGTGGAGCGGTGCCGGAAGTTAGAAGGCCGCTGGGCAGAACTGGAGCAGGCGTGTGATGCGCGTGCCCGTTGCCTGCAGCAGGCCGTCACCGTCCAGCAGGTAGGAGACAGAGAGGGTGGGGTCTGCAGAGCAGTGGAAGCTGGACCAGATGTGGGAGAGAGGAGTTGTGGGACCTTCATGGAGGGAGGCCGTGATGGGAGCTCTGTGCTGCTTATGCAAGTTAGCTGGTTCCAGTAAGGGTCCAGAAGCCTCTCTGCTGGCTGCTGGCGCCCAGGACAGGTGATGAAGCGTCCCAGCTAAGATCACTATGGTAAGTCAACATCATTCTTTGCAGTACTTTCTGACTGTGTCAGAAATAGAGACCTGGGTGGAGGAAAAGTGGCCTCTGGCGAGCAGTCAGGAATATGGCGGCAATGAGACAGCTACCTTTGGGCTCCTTAGGAAACACCAGGTACTGTGTCCTGATCACCCCATGTGAGTAAGCAGACCACAAGGAAGTCTGCCACACTCCAAAGGGCGCATCCTGCTTCCTGAGACACAGAGCCCTGCTGTTTCCTTCCTGAACACATGGCTAGCCCCATCTGCCACCCACCCAAGTCCTTATTCACCCTCCTCCCCTGAGCACACACTTCTGCCAGTACACCCCAGCCTTGTGACTCAAGAGTGTGTTTACCTTCTGTGGCCTTCCTGGACTTGCCTCTCCATGCAGACTTTGGGTGCCTCTGTCTCCTCATGCTTCATCTCCTTCCCAGGACCTTCCTACTCCTCAAGAGTCACCCGCTTCAGCCTGCCCCTTGTCCTTCATATGTGTCCTGCTATAGGGCTCTGAACATCATCCTTTTGTTAACCCACTCACCACCCTTAAATCCATCTCCTCCCACAAGCATCCCTGGTAGAAGGGAGGGAGGCCAGAGTGGATTCCTAGAACCATCAAGCTTCAACACCTCAGCCCCTCTGCATTCCTGCTTCTTGTCATGGAAATGTCCTCCTGTCCAGATACTTTCCTGCATGTTCCAGTGGTCACTGTTCTGTGGTGTCTTGTGGCTGAGGATCTTCAGTGAGCTATTCCTGAAGGGTATGCCTGCAGGCTTGGCCTCATGTAGCCTCCCTGTGCCAAGGATGCAGAGAGGCTTGCTCAGTTCTGTAGATTTTTGCATTTTGATATTGGGGTCCAGCATGATGCCTCCTGGACCCCCCTTTCTTTAGCCCAATCTTCCCACCATTACTCTTTCTGGCTAAGTAGTGAGTCTTCTGAGGGTGGAGACCATATCTTCATTTTGTAAAACAGTACGTGTGCCATCAGTATTGGGTAAGTGGGTAATGTGTGGTGGGTGAAGCTGAGTGGGTGGAGCATGGATAGGTATATAGATGGATGAGTATATTGGGAAGTCAGTGAGTTGAGAGGTAAACAGATGAGTGTGTGAGTTGTTGAACGAATGCCTGGGGGATGAATGTGTAGGTTGTATAGGGGGTAGATGTATAGAGAGATGAAGAACCACCCAGTCTGGACTCTTACATTGGCAGATGCTGCAGCAGGAATTAGCTCTTTATTGGAGCTCTGTGGAGGATCTTGAGCAGAGATTCCAGACCCTCACTGGATCGGAGGCCTCTGAGCAGCTGGGTATGGTACGGGAGCGATTGCAGGCACTACAGACGCTGGCAGATGCACGGTGAGGGACACTATGGACCCTCATCAGTGGGCACAGGGGCCCTAACCACAGCTGACAGTCCCCTGCCATGGCCCTATGATGGCAGGAACCCAGGCCTTTAGGATGCCCCAGGAAAAGGCTGAGTTTTTGTGTTGCTCGCCTCTCTATAAGCTCTTCAGTAAAGGCTCCCATAGCAGGAACTTGGGCCCTCAATTCCCAGCTCTCCATCTCTTGCCAACACCCTCTGTCCCCTACCCTGGCCTTACTATGTCTTCTTTCCGAGTCAAAGGCTTGGGCAAAGATCATGAACAACCCCATTCTTCAGCCCCCTCACCCTCAGGTCCCCAGGGAGACGAGCAGACAGCTAACATCTGGGGAACCCCTGGCTGTCACCATAGGGGCCGGGAGCTGGACGGGACCCTGAAGCTACATGAATTCATGAGAGAAGCCGAGGACCTGCAGAGCTGGCTGGCTAGCTGGAAGCAGGTGGCCAGAGGAGGGGACAACTTTGGAGAAGACCATGAGCGTGTGCTGGTGAGGGGGTGGGAGCAGGGAAGACACAGGAGGCAGGGGCTGGATGGCAGGGGCTAGTCCTGCTGGGCTGGAGGGAGAAGGCACAGTGGAATCATGGAGTATGCCCTCGGGGTGGAGTGTGCCGGTGCTGTGGCCACACAACCCCACACTGTCACCGAGTAACTGGACTAGGGCCACCCTGTCATCTTCTCCCCTCTCTCCTCAGCAACTCTGCACTAAGTTTGCGGAGTTTCAGAACCAAATTGAAACCGGTGCCCTGCGAGTAGAGACCTGCCAGCAGCTGGCAGAGAGCCTCCTGGAGTGTGGGCACAGTGCCGCACCCGAGGCCCACCAGCGGCAGCAGGATCTACGGTGCGTGCGATGGTCCAGGCAAGGGTCTAGGTTTGGAGGAGGGTCTAGGGAGGTAACACAGGGTGCACACTCTGCAGGTCATAGGGCCCTGCTTGCTCTGCTAGAGAGGGCGAGGTCCCTGCAATGTCAGAGCCTCCACTGTGGTCTGTGGTGGAAGATGAGGCTGGGGTTACCAACCAGACACTCCCAGCCCCCCAGGGACAGTTTTCCCAATTACTGCTGCCTTAGCCATGGAGGAGGAACTGTGGAAAGAACCTGCCTGAGCTAGAGAGGAGGCCTTCCATGAGCTCCGAGCTCCAAATTCCCATGCTCACAGGCCTTCCATTCACTATTCTAGGTGTCCACCACCTGCTGGTATGGGTCCTTTTCTAGCTCACAGCAAGGTCAGATCTTCTCCTGACCCTCAGCGTAAAGTCTAGCCTGGAAGAAGCCTTTGAGCACAGGCAGAGCATGGCAAGGGGGAAATGGAGGAAAGATAGGGACTCTCTGCTCAAGGATTTGTAATGGTGTCTTATTTAGGATTTCTATTGCTGTAAAGAGACACCATGACCGTGGCAACTCTTATAAAGGAAAGCATTTAATTGGGGCTGGCTTACAGTTTCAGAGGTTTAATCCGTTATTATCATGGTGGGACATGGCAGCATGCAGGCAGACATGGTGCTGGAGAAGGAGCTGAGAGTTCTTACATCTTGATCCCCAGGCAGAAGGAAGTGGACTGTCCCACACTGGGCATAGCTGGAGCATATACGAGACCTCAAAGCCCACCCCCACAGTGACACACTTCCTCCAACAAAGCCACACATACTCCAGCAAGGCAACGCCTTCTAATAGTGCCACTCCCTATGGGCCAAACATTCAAACACCTGAGTCTGTGGGGGCCTTTCCTATTCAGATCTCCACAAATGGGATTGATCGACATACTGAAAATCAGACATGAAAGATGGGAGCAGAGTTAGACCAGAGAGATCTGTGACAGGCTGAGCCCAGCAGGACAGCGCACACGGCTACACGCCCTGTGAAACGAGAGAGGCTCAAGGGGAGGGAGCAAGGTTTGTAGGAAGGGGGAGCCGGAAGCAGGAGGCTCGAAAGACAGCCCCCCGCCCCCGCCCATCATGAGCTTTGGGCAATCCATGGGTTCCACCCAGAGAGGAGAGAGCTGATCAGACAGACCAGACGGGATGAAGGCTGACCCATGGCTGCTCTTCTGTGTGGTAGGGCTGCTTGGTCTGAACTGTGGCAGCTGACCCGTGCCCAAAGCCGCCTGCTCCATGAAACAGAAACCACCCTCCGAGTCCACAGAGACCTTCTAGAAGTCCTTACTCAGATTCAGGTATGAACTCTAGAGGTGGATCTCCCAGGCTCAGTGCCCCACCCTCCCTTCCTACCCTGCTCTGACCCTTTTCTACCCTAGGAGAAAGCTACAAGCCTCCCTGATGATGTGGCCCAGGACCTGCATGGGGTAGAGAACCAGCTGCAGAGACATGAGAGGCTGGAACGTGAGCTGGCAGGCCTGGAGCAGCAGGTAGGTAGGCTGCTAGCACAGGCCCTCAGGCCCCTACAGGCCGTCCAGCCTGGCGCGTTGGTTCTTCCCGTTGGGCCTGCCCTGCATGGCAGAGCTTGGCCCAAGCAGTTCCCAGGCTTGAGTACTCAGACAGGGAACGTACCTTGGGATGCTCAGGTCCCTCCACCTCTGTGAAGAAACCGTTCTCCTCTCCTACCCCTTACCTGCTAGCTGCAGGAACTGTTGAAGGCTGGAAGCGGGGTACAGAAGCTGTGCCCAGGTCCTCGGGCCCTCGCCACTGTCCAGCAGAAGCAGCAAGCTGTGACACTATCCTGGGAGGCCCTCCAGCTGCGTGTGGAGCAGCGCAGGGTCCAGTTGGAGCGAGCACACCTCCTGGTCCGCTTCCACACAGCGGTGAGGGCTTTCTCCTCTTGGGAGGGGCTCAGGTGTGCACAGATGTGTACACGCACCGAAGCCCTCCGGTTCTAGAGGGAAAATAAGTGTGGCCAGAAAGGGCAAGAGCAAGGGTCTGTAATCCTGGAAGGACTGGGTTGGGTGATGACAGAGAAACCGAGTGACAGAGACCTGCGAGTCTCACCAGAAGCCCTGTCTCAGACAGCTTGATGTCTCTGTGTGTCCATGGGTTCAGGCAGGCTACAGTTGTGTGCCACCAGCCCCATCTCAATGGGGCCTCGTTGTCTCCCGGGGTCAGGTGAAGGACTACACCTCCTGGGTGGCCAGCATGCATCAGGAGCTGCAGAGGGAGGAGGGCTCCAGGGAACCCAGCAATACCCTGCTCAGGCTCAGAGCCCACCAATGGCTGCGGGCAGAACTGGAAGCCAGAGAAGAGCTGCAGCAGCGGGCCACTAAGCTGGGCCAGCAGGCACTTCTGGCTGCGGGGACACACACTAAGGAGGTGGGCGCTTTGCCTATGCTCCCAGCCCACCCTGTCCTCCCTTGGGCTGCCTCCTGCCCACCCCACCGCCTCTTCTCCAAGGCTTCCCTGGGGATGTATTAGTGACCCTCCCCAACCCCAGCTTTCCACATCCTCATCTTCAGGTCCAGGATGCGCTTCAAGCCCTACAGGAGGAACGTGACCAGGTGTTCAAGGCCTGGGCACTCAAGCAAGAGAGGCTGCAGGCCATGCTTCAAGAACAGCGCCTCCTCAGACAGTGTGATCACCTGGCGACGATCCTCACAGCCCAGGAGGCAGGTCTTACAGCCCCGACTCGAACCCTCCTTCTCCTCTTCCGTACCTCTGTCTGTTCCTCCCTTTCTTCCTGAGTCGTTGGCTTTTTCCTGGACATGGAGCCTAGGGGCTGTGGGTGAGTCCCCCCCGGTGGCCAGTGTAGATCACCAGGGCACCATGGCCTCCACTAGCACCCCCAGGCCAGATCTAGCCCCGCTCTTGCCCAGCCTAGACACTGGACTAAGACCCATGAGTTGGATAGAGACGGCCGATCATCTCCACTGTGTCAGAGGTTGAAGTGTTGCTGGCCTCCCACCTGGGCTCCTGTTCCCCTCACCTCTCCCCTGCCCACGTGCGGTGTTCCTCTCAGCTACTGAGGCCCCAGGGGTACCGCCTCGGCAGACAGTGCTGGCAGCGTTCAGTGCCTCTGACCTTCCCCACATACTGATCTAGGCCTTCCTGAAAGCCAGTGGCCTGGGGAGCTCAGTGGAGGAAGTGGAGCAGTTGATTTGCCAGCATGTGATCTTCCAGAAAGTGCTCGCTCTCCAGGACGAGAAGGTGATGGGCTCGGAGTCCTGCACACGGTGATGGGGGAGTCCTCAAGAGGGGTACGGTGGCTGGGTGTATGCCCAGAAACAGCGCTGGTTTTTATGTCTGTGGAACTAGGGGTGGAAGTGTACATTTATACGGCTCAAGAAAAGCCCCAGCCTGGGCTGCTCCACACTGCGGGGGCCCAGGGAGCATTCACTGAGTGTGAGGTCGCTGAACGGAGATTGACTCTGGCTTTTGTCAGGGCCGCCAGCCAGCCCTTAGCCGTGCAGAGCTGAGGGCAAGTCAATGGCCAGGTTGCCAGCATAGAGCAGCCGAGTGCCCATGTTCCACAGGAGGCAGCCCTGCGTGAGCAGTTGAAAACTACCCCGAGCCCTAAGGGGCAGCGCCTGGTTTACCGCGTGCTGGAGCATCGGGCTCAAGTGAAGGAGCTGGCAGAGAGCCGGGGGCAGGCCCTGCACGCCTCCCTGATGATGGCCAACTTCACCACGGCCGCAGCTCAGGTCAGAGGCCCATCCCCTGCCTGTTGCCTAAACCTTAGAGTACATTGTGCAGTTGGAGGTGACATTCAGACCACAACACTATGTATGAGGAAAAAAACAGGTTGGGGGAGTTAAATGGCTTCCTGGGGGCCATGGAGCCTGGAACATTTGATTTGGAGCCCCTGTGGGCTGCGACCCATCTGTGTGCTGAGCACTGGCAGAGCCAAGGCAAATAAGAGTTATAGGAAGGGGAACAGGTTCCTGGAACAGGGGGCTCGCACCTCTGAAACAGACTCCCATCCAAGTTCCTTGCTCAGCCTGGCCTGGGGCGTGGCTTCCTGCCTAGAACCCTGGTTCTTGTTTACTACATACTGCTAGCTCTGCCCCTGAGGCCAGTAGCCCACCACCTGGATTATACTAGTGTGGAGCGGGAGTGGAAGGGGGTGGGGATGGGGCATCATAGGATTTGGGCCCGTCCCTACCAGGTTGAGGACTGGATCCAGGAGCGGGTCCAACAACTGAGAGCCTGGAGCCCTCTTGGAAACCTAAATGATTATCTGAAGCACCTGCAGAAACACAAGGCCTTCGAGGCTGAGGTCCAGGCCCACGAGGAGGTCATGACCTCTGTTGCCAAGGTAACCCCAGCCTCAGCCCAGCCTAAAGTGTTGATGGCCAAGGTCTCAGATAAGAAGAAAGGGGCTGAGCGCTCCCCTATTCCTGTCTCCCAGCAAGGTGAAGGGCTCCTCAGACAGAGCCGCCCTGGGACTGGAGAAGTCTCCCAGAAGCTGAAGGCCCTGTGGGAGCTCTGGGAGAAGCTGAAGCAGGCAGTGACCCTGCAGGGCCAGGCCCTGGAGGACCGACGCAGCTTCCTGGAGTTCCTGCAGAGAGTGGACCTAGCAGAGGCCTGGATCCAGGAGAAGGTGAAGGCTCCGAGCGCTGAGCAAGGCATTTGGAGGCTGGGGGCTGAAGCTGGGGATCAGGAGCCAAAGGATGGGGTGGGGAAGAGCCAGGCATGTAGTTCTCTGTCTCCCTAATAGTAAGGTCTTTAGTGGGAAGTCCCAAGCCTCCACCTGCCCTGACGCTGCCCCAGCTACAGGTGCAAGTGGCCAGCGTTGAGCATTGCATTCCCACCCTTGGCCTCCACAGGAGAGGATGGTGAACAGCTGCGACATGGGCCTGGACCTTGAACACTGTCTACAGCTCTGCAGAGAGGCCCACAGGTTACAGGTAAGAGGCTGTGCTCGGGAGAGTTGACACAGAGAGGCCCACGGGTTACAGGTGAGAGGCTGTGCTTGGGAGGGTTGACACAGAGAGGTCCACGGGTTACAGGTAAGAGTCTGTGCTCGGGAGGGTTGACACAGGATCTCCCATTGGGAAGTTTGTCCGGTGGACTCCAGAATCCAGAGTCAAGCTCAGCTTTGCACTACTTGGACACACTTAGGCAAGTTCCCTCATCTGGCCAATCCTTAGTTTCTTCATCTCTGAAATGAGTAGCATGTCTTCCTCAGAGGTGAGGGAATGCATGTGTGTGGTGGTGGTCACATGGCTCTACACCTGTAATTTGTTGCCTCTCCTGGGAAACTTGGTGGTCTGCTTTGAGTGTCATGGTAAGAAGCAGAGGTGGGCATGGAGCTGCTGGGCAACTTCTGCAGTTTTCTGTGTTTATACAAAGTTGTGGTCCTAACTTACTATTTCAAAATTACTAAAAAAGATATAGCCTGTGCCTGGGTGTGGTAGATAATCAGTGCCTTCCTTCAGTGTGAGTAGTTCAACATCTCCTTGTTGTGGCCACATCATGAGACCCCCGAGCAAAACCACCACAGAGCCAATATCCGATGCAAGTACAAAGGGGTTTATTGATAACAAGCAAGCCTGGGCTTGGTCCGCATCCAACACACTGGCTAGCCAGGTGAAGGAGGATGGCCCTGAGCGCTCAGAATGAGGGGTTTTTAAAGGGAAAAACCGCAAACAGGGTGGTACAAGCCTTGATGTCATATGATTGGGTGAGGGTGTGTAACCTTTGAATTTACTGGTTGGGGGTTACAGTTATCATTTTGGGGGCAGGCCTGGACAAGTCCCAGGCTTTGTCCTTGAGCTGCCATGGAGGCTGGCTGGCCTAGCGTGTATGAACTATGGGGGCTGACTCAGTGGCCCAGGCTCTGTTCTTGAGCTGCCATGGAGGCTGGCTGGCCTCGCACGTTCACATTGATCCATGCACGTAGCTCTGATTTGGTGAGGGGTCCCAGACAGTGAACAACTGGCTGAACCTTGAGCGGTCAGAGTATGTGCAGAAAGGGAGCTACTGCAAGGACTATGTCTTTTGTTCAAGGCCCTCCCAGAAACTGCTTGCTCAAGTCTCGGAAAAACTGAAATTGAGGCCTGATCCTGAGAAAAGACTGAGCAGCCTGTTATGGTCTCTGCTTGGTCCTTTCATCCTCACCCACACCACTGACCAAAACCACCCGGAATCTATTTCTGTAATACAGAGGGGCCTTGGCAAACACATTCATAAGCAGGTGTTGAAGGCGCTGACCTCGATGCAGGTGTATGGGGTTTTGGTAAAGGCTGCAGTCTTAAACCCCAACGCGTCCTTAGCTGATGATGGCATTTGCTGGATGCTGTGCCATCTGGTACAGCAGGAAGGGGTGCCCTGGGCCCGAGTCCTGACCTGCCATGAGTGAGCACCATGACCCTCTGAGCCCTGCTGTGCTCCAGGATCACCTCTCAGATGAGTTCAATGGTACAAATGTAGGGAGCAGGCAGCCTGTGATCCACCCTGCTGGGGCTCCCTTCCCTGAGGACCTATAAGCCAGCCTGTGTCCAGGCTCCATTTTTAACTTTAAACACTACCCATGGGTCTGTGTCCACCTTCGCCCTCCTACCCAGTCCTCATTCTGAGAAGCCCATTTCCCCGCCTCAGAGCTGAGGGGGTGGTCTCCAGCACCTGTCACTGCTGAGGAAGCAGCCACCTCCCACTCCCCAAATCTGCTGTGGTTGCAGAAATTCCTTCCCAGGGGGAGACATAAGCAATATCTACCCCTTCTCCCAAGGCCCCAGTGACAAATCAAGACATGAGACAAAGTTCGTTCTGGGGTTTATTGGGCTTCCTTACAGAGCATAATACAGGAATGTGGGTACTCCTCCCCCAACAAGCTGAAAGCTTACTCAGAAGGGATGAGCGCCCTGAAGGAGCCCCTCCCAAACTCTTCCCAGTTTATACGGGCTAGCCTCCTCCCTAGGCCGTGTGCAGTTAAGGCAGGATTACACACAGCAGATGCTGTGGAGCACCTGGATATTCAGGTGAGGGTCCTGTGACCCTCCCACCCGTCCGTGAGGGAGCATAAAGGGTCAACAAGCCCAGCTGGGATGATCCTTGGCAAGAGGCACAGCTGAACGCCTCAAGATGGTGATTGCTTTCCCAGGGGACAATCTCAACAGCTATCAGGAGGCCTTGAACAGGTGGTGCTAGTTAGTGTTGGCACCTCCCCCTTCCCCGTAGGTCACAGTGGATGACACCTACATCGGGAGAATCAAAAACTTGTCACCGCAGCTCAAGAACCCGAGCCCCGAGGAATCTGAGACCGTCTGCCAGCGGCAAAACCAACTCAACAATAGGCCAGTCTCAGACGGGGCGAGGGGGGCAGCCGTGGGGCTGGAAGAGGGCCTGGGTGCCACCTCGGGCTGCAGGGTTCACCCCCATCCTCTGGTCAGGTGGAAGACTTTCCATGGCAACCTGCTCCTGTATCAGCAGCGGCTTGAAGCAGCCCTAGAGATACACACGTTGTCCAGTGAACTGGATGGCCTCACTGAGCAGATCAGGGAAAAGGTAGGTAGTGAAAAGTCCCCCTGTGCACAGAGTTGGGAGTGGCACGGAGTCTCCCATGACCCCAATCCCTGGCCCACCTCTGCTCTTCATCTGGATCCCACCAGGAGTCCACCAGGGAATCTGATGAGAAGCGTACTACACCCGCCCCCACACACATACCTGCAGCTCCCAAGCCAGCCCCCCCTGCCTCTTTCTATCCCAGATGTGGGATGGGTCTAGAGGCCAGAGCACACCTGTTTTCCCTGGACCCTAAGCGAGTCTAGAGCCCAGAAGAGGTTTGGCCCAGGATGGTGTCAGTTCCCACAGGTGGGCTGAAAGCTGGTGAGAGTACCGCTAAGGTCTCTGCAACCTGAGAAGTTCTGTGTGGGCCAGCATCCTCTTCCACTGGATCCTGCCCTCACAGCTAACGCAGGCCTCTGCCCTCTGAGATCCCTCCCCAGAGGGAGAGTCAAAGAGACCATGCCAGGAAGCGCCACACACATCTCGCCAGCCAGAGGAAAGTCAAGACCCAAAGTCCTGCCCCAGAACTCCTGTTCCTCTGGTCAGGGGCAGGGCCCTGCTCCCACCCTGTCAGCAGGAAGGGATTCATGTAGGGTGCTTGCATTCTGCACTGCCACCCTTGGTGACCAGGCTCCTGTGGTGAGGGGACAGCTGAAGCTGTGGCCTAGCCTGTAATGGCTCCCCTCCCACCCTCCCAGGAATCCCTGATCCAGGCCCTGGAGAGCACAGAAGATTTGGAGAATGTACAGAGGCTACCATGGAAACAGAAAATGCTACAACAGGGAATGGGCCTCATCCAGACTCAGGTGGAGGTGTGCAGTTGGGGGACCCAGGCCCTAGGTACATCCTCGGGAGCCCTGGTGGATTCCTGAGAGCCATGTGCTAAGATCCACATAGCCCGGGCCCCTGCCGCCTAGCCTCTGACCTTTATCCCTACAGTCTCTCGAGGGTAAGGTTGGCCGCCTCTGCAAGAGAAGCCCTGAGGTTGCCCACAGCCTCAGTCATAAGCAACAAGAAATGATGGACAGCTGGTGGAAGGTCTGGAGCAGGGTCCAGAAGTGGTATGAGTCCTTGGGCCTTAGTCCCATGCCGAATGGTGCCCTCCAGTTCCCAATCTGCACTTCTTGGCCCCACTTTCTCCTGAGTGTCCGTACCATTTACCAGTTAATTCCCAGCCCGCAGACCTTCTGTGCTGAGGGATTAAAGGACACTGGGCGTGAGGGAGAGGAGGCTCCATGATCCTAGAACTAACCAGTGAGTCCTGTGAGCAGGAGGGAGTCACTGGATGTGGGCCATAAAGTTTGGAAACTCCAGATGCTGCTGCGGGATCTGCAGGACTGGGCACAGGGACTGAAGGCTGAGATGGACACGCGGGGCAGCCCCTGCAGCCCCGAGAGAGCCCTGTACATGCTGCAAGAGCACCAGGCATACAAAGTGAGCCGCAGTTCCTGTCACCCCTCACTGTGCCCCCCTCCTCTGACCCCTACTAGGACCTTTCTCTGTCTCCTGGCCAACTTTGTTCTTTTCCATCCTGCCCTCTCCTTCCTGCTGGACCTCTGGTGACCCTGGGAGGCCTCAGCCCACAGGGGACTGACCTCAGGCCTATTACAGGTCGAGCTGGACATCCGAACAGACAGCCTTAGCCTGGCCCGAAGCATGGGCCAGCAGCTGCTTGCATCTGGATGCCAACTGGCCTCTGCGATTCAACAATCCCTAGCCGCTGTGGAGCAGGAGTTGAGAAGCTTGGAGGAATCATGGCAGAGGCGGCAGCAGCAGCTACAGCAGGCCCTGGAGCAGCAGGTGGGCCCCAGGCCAGCTTTCAACCTACCCCACTATCAGGACCTATGACGTCTCCACAGCCCTGGTCAAGACCAAAGCTGAAAGGACTGCCTTCCTCGGGTATTCCTGCCATTCAGCCTGCTCCTGTACCATGGAGCCAGGCCCCTGGTTCTCCAACCCGAACCACCAGGAAGGTCACACACATGCCTGGGTAGTCACTGGGCCCTCTCCTGACTTTCTCTTGTCCTTTTTTCCCAGTCACTTCTGAGCTCTGTGGAAAAGGTGGAACACTGGTTCTTCAGCGAGGAGTCCTCTCTAGTTAGTGAGGGACTGGAGGTAGGTACCCAGCAGGAGTCGGGAAGGATGGACAGGAGTCAGCCAGAGCCGTCAAGCTCTCTGGGTCAGGGTCTTCCCCACGGCTGAGCAGTTACCATCAGTCCTAAGAGTTCCTTGGCCCCTTGGGTAGGGCCCATAGGGTGTGTCTGAGGAGCCGAGGGAGTGAGCTTATGGTTAGGCTGGTCGCTCCCTCGGATCTCTCTCTTACCACTCTTTGCCTCTGTCCTCACTCCAACATCGTCTCAACCCCGGTAACAGGCACGAATAACTCCCAGAGACCTGGGAGAATAATTAGGGCCGACATAGTCTTTCTCAGAGCATAGAGGAGAGAGGGAAGCACTCCGCTTGCCCTGGAAATGGACACAGATGGTCCCCCTATCCTAAAGCTAGAAGCAGCCTTGTGGGGTTTGAGTAATGCCGTTGGGAGAACAATCACTTTGTGGAAAGGGATTCTAGAGGGAAGCAGATGGCTTAGGGTGGAGTGGGGGCAACCCTGTAGTCAGCATCAGCACCCCACTTCCATCAGGATCCCTTGGCCACTGTGGAGACCCTTCTGTCCAAGCACAAGAGGCGTGAGCAGCACCTGAAGGCAAGGGCTGAAGAGATCAGTGCGCTGGAGGCCACAGCCCTCAGCCTGCACCAGAGTGGACACCCCGAGGCCCGCAGCATCCTGGCCAGGTGCCAGGCCCTACTCCTGAGGTACCTGTGGCTCTGGGATGATGGGAACTGGGGGTGAGCTGGCTTAGACATCTATTATCCAAGCTCTTCCCTTCCTGTTCAACTTCTTGGCCCAACTAGTAGCGTTTTCCAAAGCCTAGGGTCAGAGGCTGGGAGTACCCACCACTCCTGCCCTGGCAGTGGGTCTACCTGTTCTCCATTAGACAATGGCATCCATCCTTCATCCCAGCTTCACCCACTAAGAAACTCACACTAGAACACTGAGAGGAAGTGACTGAATGATATGGAAGGGACAGGAACATGCTAGGTCAGTCCTTCACAACCGCGGTCCTGAGCCTCTCTACCTTAAGTGGTGGGACCTAAGGCAGATCCCACTGTCCTAGTTAAGTCTTAAATCTGCCTCTGGGGGCTGTGGTGTCTTAACATGGTACCTGTCCTTCCGAGTAGGCTGAAGATCTCTTATGGAACTGAAGCTCAGCCGTAGACCTGCGTGGCCTGCCCATTTCATGACACTAGCCTTGCCTTCTCCCTCATAACACAACGCCTCTGGCTCAGCTGGCCCGGCTCCTCCAGGGTAGAGACCAAGGCGGATATAGCCATAAGCCACGTCCCAGACTCTGGGACTACCTTCCCGCTTCTGGGGCTCCTTGTGCTGGTGCTCCAGTAGGAGCTAGTATATCTCCTCTCGTTTACTTGTTGATTTGTTTATTTATATTTCAGGTGTATGTGGGTTTTGCCTGCATGTATGTCTGTGCACCATGTGCATGCCCGGTACCTCTAGAGGCCCGAAGAGGAGATCAGGTTTCCTGGAACTGGAGTTATAAATGATTGTGAGCTGCCATGTGGGTGCTGGGAATCGAACCCAGGTCCTCTGGTTCTGCTGAGCCACTTTTCAGGCCCCATCCCTTTCCATTCTTGCAGGTAGATTTCCCTGGGTATCCATGGAGGTCTGAGTAGACAAACAGCAAGTTAGTTTGCCAATTCTATTACCTTAGGTGGTTCCTGACAGGTCTAGTCAACCCCAGCCTGATGGCATTGACCTCTTCCCTCTCTCCAGGCTTGGGCCATACTTGGGAGGGTGTTCGGCCTCCACCTAGCTCAGGTTTCCCCCAACTCCATGCCCTTTGGTAACACCAGTGAAGGGAAAAGCTGATGAACTGTTCATGGGCCGCCATGGGGTGGAGGTATTAGAACTTCATTCTGTGTGCATCTGCTAATGTTTTTAATACGTTGTTTCAAAGGTACATATAGGGAATATATAAATTAATACATAATGTAGCTTGCATATATCAAATGTTTTAAGTATGTTAAATATTAAAGTACAGTGTGTAGCCGGGCGGTGGTGGCGCACGCCTTTAATCCCAGCACTCGGGAGGCAGGGGCAGGCGGATCTCTGTGAGTTCGAGGCCAGCCTGGTCTACAGCGCGAGATCCAGGAAAGGCGCAAAGCTACACAGAGAAACCCTGTCTCGAAAAACCAAAAAACAAAAAACAAAAAAAAAAAAAAAGTACAGTGTGTGTGTGTGTGTGTGTGTGTGTGTGTGTGTGTGTGTGTAGGACTCTTGCTCACAGCAGTGCATAATCAAAAAAGTGACTAAAGCCAGGCATGGTTGCACACACCTGTAATCCAAGCACTTGTTGGAGGAGCACAGGAGGATCCAGAGTTCTGAGACCAGCTGGGGCCGCACAGCACACTTGAAGCCTGGCTGAGCTATATAGTGAGGCCCTGTCTTAAAAAGAAACGGTGAGATTATCAAGATGGCCCAGCAGGCGAGAGAGCTTGCTGTACAAGCTTCAGTTGCTGGGACCTGTGGAGGAAGGAGAGAACCAGCTTCCAGGAGTTGCCCTCTGACCTCCACATGCACTCTGTGGCATGCACCTCCCCCCCCACACACATGCACCCCCACACAATACATATGTATATATCAAATCAAATAAAAATGTAACAATGGCATAAAAACAAAACAGTTCTGGTGGCTCAGGCCTATAATCCCAGCTATTTGGGAAACTAGGCTTGCCTGGGCTATGGAGTAAATTTATGGTCGGCATTGGTAAGTTAGCGAGACCCTGCCTCACAAGGTTTAAAAAGCAAAAGTAGGGCTTGGGGTATAGCTCAGTGGTAGAGCCCTGGCCTAGCAAGAATGAGGTTTTAGGTTCAATCCCCAACACATTAAAAAAAAAAAGAAAAGAGAACAAAGTTGCTTGGACACTACATTAGTTTGGACTATTATAACGAAGTGCTACAGGCTGGGTGATATAAACCATAACAAATTATTTTCTCACAATTCTAGAGGCAGGAAGTTCAAGATCAAGGTGTTAGAAGAGTCTGTCTGTCTTTGGATTATGGCCTTCTCCCATGTCCTTACACGGTCATCCCTTTGAGTGTGTCCTACCTTCACCTCCTCACACACAGACACCTGTCCTCTCAGATTCCAGCTGATTTATCTCCAAACACAGTTCCGTCCTCAGATTAGGGTTAGGACATGAACATAAGTGGCCCTAATATACAAGCACATGTGTCTTGTTTCAAAGGAAACCTCTGACTCAGGGCATTGTGATATGGATCATAAAAAGCTGGGCCACATACACACACACATACACACACACACACACACACACACACACACACACACACACACGGGGAGTAGGGGCGCACACACACTCCAGTCCTGGCAGTTGAGCCTGGGAGTCCACAAGACCCTCTTCTTGCAGGAGAGAGGCACTCACAGAGCGAGCCAGGGCGCGCGGTTGCCAGCTGGAGGAGCTGCGGCAGCTTCGGACTTTCTTGCAGGATTCCGATGAGGTTCCCACTGCTTGGGCTGAGAGGGTTGTGGGGTACACCTTCCTTGGGGGCTCTCCGGAGGTTAAGGAAAGCAGAGCCCTGTTCCGTCCTTGTGTTAGGTAGCTACATGGCTGAGGGAGAAGAACCTGGAGGCTCTGGACAAGGGTCGGCAGGACCCAACCACGATACAAACTCAGTTACAGAAGCAGCAGAATTTCCAGGCCGTGCTGGATGCCAGTGTTGCCCAGCAACAGGAGCTGCAGAAGGTGAGGTTCCGTGAGGCTGAGGAGCCACAGCCCAGCCCCCTACACCCCTGCAGCTGGCTTTGAATCATAGTAGGGACAACCGCTGTCCTTTGTATGCTTTCTATGTGCTAGGCTGTGTACAGATACGCCCTCTTCAAAAATGGCACCTTTTTGATAATTTTGTAGAGAGTAGATTGAAACAGTAAGATACAGCTAGCAGCCCTGGAGCTCGATATCAAAACAGAGTACCATTTGTGTGTGTGTTTGTTGGTTTGGTTTGGTTTTAAACATCCCCTTCTCTACCCCAGGCTGGTTACTCCTGATATCAAGTGCTTTGCTAAGTAATTCCGTGTTAGTTACCTCATTTAACCAATGTCATTGCTACTGCATTGCACAGAAAAGGACAAAGAGACTTCGTTAGCTTAAGAGGCTTGTGAAGCTGGGTGTGGTGGCACACACCCACAATGCCAGCACTGTGAGGCTGAGGCTAGACCGTAGTGAGTTAGAGGCCAGCTTGGGCAGTTTAAGCAAGACCCTGCCTCAGAAAGAAAAGGGCAGGGAGGCAAGGAGGAAGAGCCAGGCTGGTGTGCAGGCCCATCCTCCCATCACTCAGGATTACAGAAAACACTCCACAGCAAGTCTGAGGCCAGCCTGGGCTGGTTAGTGAGACCCTGTCTCAAAAAAGAAGAAAAGGAAAAAGATGGACAGTGGGAGGGAAGAGGGGATAGAAATTTGTCCCACATCACACAGTCAGAATGCAGGCTGGTCATTGGTACCAGGGTACCAGCATCCTTCGTCCAGGATGTATGTATAATGTATGGTGTAGGAGGGGCAGAGACTGCTACACGGAGGCCACCCGGCCTCTGAGACCATCCGGGGGAGACTGCAAGAACTAGGAGGCCTCTGGACTGAGCTGCAGGCCAACTGCCAGAGGAAGATGGCCGGACTCCAGGGGGCCCACAAGGTAAGGATGGACTATCAAGCAACTCACTAGACAGGACTCTAGGACACACTGCCCCCACTCTCTTATATTCCCTTACATTCTGTCCCAGGCTCTGCATCTGCAGAAGATGCTGGAGAGACTGGAGAGCTGGCTAGAGTCCATGGAAGGGGAGCTGAGAGCCCCTGTCAAAAGCCAGGACCTGCCTAGGGTGGGCGAGCTCCTGGGGGCGCAGGGGGAGCTGGAAGCAGCTGTCGATAGTCAGACCAGGCAAGCGCAGGAGCTGTGGGGCCAAGCCCAAGCCTGCATTCAGGAAGGCCACTGCCTCGCCAAAGGTGTGGAAGAGCGAGCCCAGCAGCTACTTCAGAGGTAGATTACCCAGAGCCCTGGTTTGATACCTTGCCCTCCTTTGCCTGCCGCCTTAGAGGGGCATCCCCCCACTCCACCTTCTGGCATGTGTTCTCATAGTGAAGCGCACAGAATAGACGAGTACTGTATTATAGTCTGTTTTTTAACATGGATGGCTGTGGCCCCCTCTGGTTCTCTTTCAGGTTCCAGAGCCTTCAGGAGCCGCTACAAGAGCGCAGGGCAGCCCTGGAAGCCCAGAGCCTACTCTTACAGTTCTTCAGGGATGCTGATGAGGAAATGGCCTGGATTCAGGAGAAGCTGCCCTCTGCCACAGCCCAGGACTATGGCCAGAGCCTGAGCACTGTGCGGCACCTTCAGGAGAGACACCAGGTGCTGGCCCATGCTGGGAGGTTGGAGAGGGGTTGCCTCAGAGGTGCTGGGGGCTCACAGTCCAGGACAGGGCACTGTGATCCAGCAAAGCCTTTAGGGCTTTAGGGCTTTAGGGATGCCTAGTTTCTTTGGAAATCCTGGGATGGGAATTCCTTGTAAGTATGTAGGATCTTTAGGCCCAACTTAGGGTGTGGGTTCCCCAATTGTTAGTACAATCCTGGTCCTTCCTCCTTTGCAGAATTTGGAGAATGAGATCAGTAGTCACAGGGCCCTGAGCCAGGTGGTGATGGGTACAGGCCACAAGCTTGTGCAGGCTGGACATTTTGCCGCTGAAGAGGTGGCTTCCCGGGTGCAGCAGCTGGAGGAGGCTCTGGACCACCTGCAGACAGAGGCAGCACAGAGGAGGAGGATGCTGCAGCAGGCCCTGGAAGCCCAGCAGGCTTTGATGGAGGTGAGAGGATGCTGTGGGATGCTGAGATGTCGGAGCTGAGAACACAGGAAGTGCATGGGACTGAAAGATGGCTCCAGGGGCAGGCAGAGCCGTGCATCCTCTGCTTCCAGTACTGGGCTCATTTGCTTTACCTTCACTGTTTCTTCCAAACCTGGATTCTCAGCTAGAACTTTGTCAGAATCACCTGGAACCATCACCTTGCAACTACGTCTGAGCTACCCCACAAACTAAACAAGTAACAAGAAATGTGAGCCGTGTACTCTCAGCACCTAGAAGGCTGAGCCATATCGTGAGACCCTATCTCAAAAAAAAAAAAAAAAAAAATCAAAGTAATTAGAAACCAGGAATGGTGGCTCATGCTTACAGTTCCAGTATCAGGAAGCAGAGGCAGGAGGCCCACTTCAAGTTCCAGGCCAACCAAGGCCTACAAAGTGAGACCCTATCTCACAAGACAAAACATAAGAAATGAAAAGAAACCAAGTAAAGACTGTTAGATAAAATTTGCTTTTATTTTTTAACATGCTTTTATTAGACTAAATAGCAACCCTGTCTCTGAGAAGCAAAAATAAGTTGTCTTTATGTTACATGAGGAAAAAAGGAAAGAATCACATGGAACCCTTATAAATATTAACACTCAGGGTTCTTCAAGTACAGTGAGAATCTTCTGGAAGGTGCTAGGAGCCATGAGAGCACTCCAATTTTCCCATGCAACCGGCTGAGGACGCCCTCCCCCAATCCCACCCCATGTCCCGGGAGCCCTCTGCCCATGTCTCAGAGTGGAGTGCCAGGCCCAGGAAACTAATTCCTGCTGTTACACTGCCTAGCTCCTGGAGACAGGGTCCTGGCTAGCTGAACGGGGCCACGTTCTGGACAGTGAAGACCTGGGCCGGGATGCTGAGGCCACACAGGTTCTTCTGCGGCGCCTGGAAGCCACCATAAGAGACTTGGAGGGGTTTAGCAGTCGCATTGAGCAGCTGCAGCAAACAGTGGCCCTTCTGGAGAGTGGGCAGAACCCGGGCAGGTATGTCAGAGCTACACTCCCCCTGGAGAAGAGCAGAGATGAGGGTGCCCTTGTCACAGAGGCAGGGGATGCTATTCCAGCCTGGAGAGGGAGGGCTGTAGTCCATGCTGCCCTTTCTTCCTGTCATAGTCCTAGGGTGCTGTCCCAGCTGCAGGCTGTGAGGGACGCCCATGCACAGCTGTTGCAGAGAGCTGAGAGCAGGGGACAAGCACTGCGTGAGCAATTGCACCTACACCAGCTGGAGCAAGAGGCCCGGCTCCTGGATGCCTGGCTGACCACCAAGGTGGCTGCTGCTGAGTCCCAGGACTACAGACAGGACCCTGAAGGCATCGAGGTGGGTTAGTCCTTAGTAGACCCAGGGGAGAGGAGGGAGAAGCTTCTTCAGGTGAAGAAGGCATGTGTTTGAGGATGGGAAGAGGTTCTGAGGGGTGAACAAGGAAGCTGGAGGGTTATCACTGCAAGAATCTGCAGTTCTAGAACTCTACGGCTAAGTGATGTTGGGGCCACTCAATGCTGCCAGCCCCTCAATGAGCCTCCAAGGCTGCTGGTAGAAGCTCACAATACCTGGGCTTCCATCCTTTCAGGTGATGGAAGACATGTTTGGTGCTTTCGGCAGAGAAGTCCAGAGCCTGGGCCAGGCCAAGGTGCAGACCCTGAGGGAGCTGATGGCCTCCCTGGAAAGAGGAGCACCCAGGTTCTACCCCCAAATTCAAGCCCAGAAGTATCGTGTCCAAGCCACTTGGGAGAGGCTGAACAAGGCAATCGAAGTCCGTAGAGAGGTAGGCCGTGTCTCAGGGAACATGGAGCCATGGAGCACGGCACAGCCCCGAGCAGGCTCTCCCTCATTCTCTCCCAGAACCTGGCTGCAGCCCGTGAGCTCCAGAGCTTCGAGCAGGCCGCCTCAGAGCTCCAAGGCTGGATGCAGGAGAAGACCACCCTGCTAGAGGGAGAGTCCCAAGTCCACAGCCTGTCACCTACGCAGCTCCTGCAGCAGCACAGGTGCCTGCAGGTAAAGGCCTCACCGGGGCTGCTCACCCCAGCCCCACTCTTCCAGGCAGAAGGCAGAAGATCTGTGTGCCTCAGTCCCTCATCAGATGACAGGTAATGGTCGTTCACCTGGGACCTGCCCCTGAGCCACTTCTCCAGAATATCAGACCACTCCCCCTCTGGCCAGGGACTTGGCACAGGTTTTAGAGTGGAGCTGAGGGGTCTCCACAGGCCAGGAGCCACGGAATGGGGAGCATGCCCTCCTGAAGAGTGAAGCCTGACCTCGTGTTCTGGTTGTAGAGGGAACTGGCAGCTATGGAAAAGGAGATGGCAAGAATACAGATGGAGGCCCATCGCCTGGGCCAGCATGATCCCGTGGCTCAGGAGGGTCTGGCCGAGTGGCTCACCAAGGTGCAGGTGGCCTGGGCCAACCTGGAGGCCAAGGTCCAGGGATGGAGCCAGAAGCTGTCGCAGGCTACCCAGGGCCACACCTTTCTTGGGCGCTGTCGGGAACTGCTGTAAGCAGGGGTCCCGTCCAGACTGTTAGCTTAGCTCTGCCCTCTCCTTGCTTTGGGGGAGGGGGGTAGCACTTTTGCCCTTGTCCCCCAGACTGCCTCGCCAGCTCTGCTATAGCAGCTCTTTCCTTGCCCGGCAGAGCATGGTCTCAGGAGCTGGTTTCCTCAGAGGAGCTGGCTGGGGATGTGGTGGACCAAGAAATCCAGGAGTGCTGCCTTCAAGCCCAGAACACATGGCAGGAAGGGCGGCAGCTGCTAGACGATGGCCATTTCATGTCGCTGGAGGTGTGAATGGAGGGTGGGATGAGCCTCACTGCTGAGGCCTGGGAGTCCCCCAAGAAGGATGAGGAAGAGGGAGGTGAGGAAGGAGGAGGGAGCAAAGATCTGGGTTGGCTTGGCTCTCCTGCTAGCCCCACCAGGGTGGGAGCTCTGCCCAGGCTTTCGTGGCAACAGCCCCTTCCTGCAGGTGGGAGAGCGTCTGCAGGAGCTGGAAAGACAGCTGCAGGAGCTTCAGGCAGCATGGGCCCTGCGCGGGCAACGCTTTGAGCAGAATCAGGGCCTGCAGCAGCTGCGGCAGAGGCTGGAGCTGGCGGAGGCCTGGCTGGCCTCCCAGGAAGGCCTGCTGCTGGACCCCAGCTATGGGGTAAGTGGAGGCAGATCTTGCTGTTCCTTGCTCACTGGCCCCTGAGCTAAGTGTGGAGGGCTGGCACCCCAGAGCTGGGCCACTGACTCATTTCTCTCAGCACTCAGTGACGGACGTGGGACGTCTGCTCTGCAGACACGAGGGCTTGGAAAAGCTACTGGCGGCCCATGAGGAGACGTTCACCCAGCTTCAGACACTGACAGAGGTTCAAGGGCTGGATGAGGGGAGGCTGGGTATAGAGAAGAGACCTCTGAGGTGGTTGGGTGGGACAGTTCCTCAGCCTCCAAGTTAGGGCTCCTCAGGGCAGGGAGGCCTCATGGAGTCTTCCTCAGGGTTTCTCCTTCAGGAAAACCACCACCCCTGCCACCCCAGCGCCCTGGGGAGAGTGTACCCCTGAGGGCTGGTAAAGACAGAAGACTCCAAAGCTGAAACATAATCAGAGAGGAGACCAGCACTCTTGGAGAAAACAGGGAAAGATTAAGGTTATGGTGTGTATGTGTGCGCGCGCGCGCACACACACACACACACACACACAGGAACATACAAGCTGGAACAGAGCTAGCAGTCAGAGCCTTCCCGTGGAGGTTTTCCGAACTAGGGGTTGGTTGCATGTCTGGCTGAGATGAGGGACCTACTGTAGCCTGGTGTCCCCACCAGACCACAATTATCTCCCTGGAGCATGCAGCCAGGCCACAGGGACTCAGGGTGTCCAGGGTCTACACTCCAGAGCAGGCGTAGAGGCCAGGAGTGCTGGGGCCCACTGGAAGTGAGGAATGGGTGTCTGCCTTCTCGTGTGTGCCGAGCCTGACATCTGGACCTCCACCTTGCATTTTCAGGTGAAGGGCACTCGTGTCACAGAGGGGTCTGTGGAACTGAAGCAGCAGCCCCCCACAGACGGGAGGCAGGTGAGTGCTAGTCGCCACTGCAGGCAACTCCAAGTTCAGTGGGCATCTGGGCCTGGCACTGTGCCTAGCAGTAGACTCCTGGGTAGCTTCCTAGGTGATCTCCGGGAAGGCTATAGTTCCTATCCACAGGAGAGAGGGTTAGGGAAGGGGTTCCCGCTTCCCATGAAGACCACAGGCGGTACTTCCCTGGAGAGATCTGAGGCCTGGGGCCTTCTTCCCCACAGCCCAACACCAGCTCCTGGAACAGTAGCCATGGGACCTTGGCAAGCAGAGCCCTGAGCCTGTTTTCAGATATGAGGAGGGCAGAAGTACCAGGTGGCACTGGGGTAAGAGACCTCGGGCAACCAGAGACCAATCTGGGGAGACAGAGGTCCCACAGGGGAAAAGTCGCAGGTGAGGTGCCCCCTGCGACCCCTGCACCTCATCTCTCCCCAGGAGCTGGCTTCCGTAGCCCCCAATGTGCCTGAGTGTGACAGACTGGAGGGCAGGAAGCATACTTTCTCCACAAGGTGAGGATTGTCGGCCTGGCCTCTTGACGGCAAGCTTGGCTGAGGGGTGCAGGTGGAGGCCCTGAGCAGGAAGCAGGGAGCTGGCTGAGGGGTGCAGGTGGAGGCCCTGAGCAGGAAGCAGGGAGCTGGCCGGGGCCCGTTTGGGAGGCAGGCTGAGTGGCAGACAGAATCCGTCTGCAGCACCGTCTGAAAAGCAGGCTATAAACTGGCAGCCAGCCCTGGTAGTGTGGCAGGTGGGCTGTAGGGGAAGGAAGGAGGTAGTGGGTGGGCCCCAAGTTCCCGATGTTGCTTGGATTTTCTGTAGTTACAGGTTTTCACAGCTGCTATCTCTAATGTCTGAAAGTGGGACTTGATTTTCTCTAAGAACTGAACTCTGAGAGGTTGAGAAACTTGTCCAAAGCGACACAGCTAATTAGTAGCAGAGGTAGATTGTCTTGCCCTGTCCCCTTTGGAGTCCACTGGGCCCACCCCCTCCAGCCAGGAACTTGGTGGGTTCTGTTCCTTTCTGGACTTCATAGGCTGGTAACTCTGAAGGCTATATCCTGAGAGGTCTGGACCGTGGCCAAGCTCCCACTAGCAGGAAGAACGTGCAGAAAATACTCTTTGCCATTTGTGCCTTTCTGTGACCGGTGGGTTCTCTGTGGAGAGTGACGGGTGCCAGGGGCTCCGCCCAGTCCCTAGCTCCCCTCCTCCGTGTTATCACCTCCCCTAGTCTCCACCCGAAGCCTCTCTTCAGAATCCCAAAAGTTTCTCCAGCACCTCCCTGCTCTGGGGTCTTGACACTTCAAGGAGTCTCTTGGGAGTGCTGGGTACCCGGCCACAGGAGGCAGGCAGCTGAGCCTCTAGGACAGGGACACGGGCCGTGGCTTCCAGGATAACCCTCATCCTTTTGTCTGCAGCCTAGAACCCAAGGCCAGGTTCCCAGCTGTGGGTGGGAATGCTGTGATCAAGTCGGATGCTGGTGGAGTGGGTTTTCTCTTAATGCTGACAGGCCAGGACTCAAGGCCCACTCTGCTGAGTGGGCTGGAGAGATCCCACATGGGAGACCCTTGCCCTCACACCTCCACTTAGAGGTGACGGCAGGACCCAGGCCACGAGGCTCCCTTTCCCCACACTCCATCTCCCCCCTGCCCTCCCCACCTGGGGAGTCTCTGCTGGTGATAAGTCCTGCTCTAGCTATCCCGTAGGTAAGCAAGAGGCTCCCTGGGTGTCCAACCTGCTTTTTACTGGAATGCTCCCCTGAACTGTCCACCCGTCCTCACTCTCAAACTTCCATTTTCTTTCCTCTGAGGCAGCAAAACCTCAGCCATTGCTTGTGCCTCTGCTCTTAACCTCCATCCTGTCTTGATTCTGTCCCTGATCCTGGGGGATAGACTGGGTCAAGGCATCAGCGTGTCCAGGCCAGTGACAAGTATAACAGCCAAGGGATGAAGCCGGCTGAATACGGGCCCTTCTTTGGCATCCCGGCTTCATTTAGATGATCATCCATGTCTTTCCTATCTCCAGGCTAGCAGGCTTCAGGCCTCTAAAAATGGGGCACTTGGGGCATGTGGGAGAGGATTGAACACCACCCCCTTGGGTCCCCAGGTCCAGTATGACAATGCCATACATCTAGACTGATGCACAGCTGTGGGCCTGGAAGGCTCTCATGCTCTAACAGGTGACAGCCACAGCTGTGGTCTCTGGCACAGCGATCCATCTCTCTTGCAGGACTCCTGAAATCCAGCTTGAGTCAGATGGTGTGAGACCAAAGAACAGGGGCTTGTACTAGAGTTTCTGGTGGTCCTGGGAGTGAACTGAGGGCATCATGCACATCCTCTACCACTGAGCTATATCCTTGGTTTTTCCTTTACAACCCACAAAGTTGTATAGACTGGCCTTGAACTCATAATCTTCCTGTCTCAGTCTCCTGAGTAGCTGGGATTACATTTCAAGCATCCTAGCTCCATTTCCAGGGCAGGCCCTGAGAACCACTTGCCTGGCTGACAGAACTTGCTAGATCATGAGACTCAAAGTTGTTACATCCCACTCATCTCACGGCTCCTAGCAGCTGCTCACACCCACGCTAGGAGCAGGTGGGATGTTCTAGGCAGATTCTATGGTGTATCGTTCCGAATCTCTGTTCTCTCAACAGGTCTGAGCCTTGAAATGAGTCCTGAGGCAACACCAAACCTCGGGCTACAAGTGAAGATGCATCCTGGGGAACCCCTCGGCTCCTGGCCCCAGGGCACCTTCCTGCGGCTGCTCAGGACCAGAGAACAGCTCCTGACAGGATAAGCACGCTGTGTTGTTACCAGCTGGGCCCGAGATGAGCCTGAACCTTTTAACTGGACCATGGCCTCACCCCAAGGTCTCTGTTTGGACAAAGATGGCAGTCTGTCCATCTGGACAGGGCTGGAACTTCCACGCTAGTGGCCTCTTGGAAAGGGTGACTTGGATGTCTTGCTTTTAGAGTGGAGCTCATGTCAAGTGCCCTGTGGAACTAACAGTCTGGTACGACAGATAATTAATCTTGGGACAGCGCCACCCAAGCGCCTCCCGTTTATAAGAGCCCCTATAACATGTCACAGTGTCCTGTCATGCGACCAGCACGGCCCCATCTCTAACCTCTGATGAGCCCCAAGTCTGTCCCATGGGTGAGCTAGGTCATTCCTAGTGCTAGGCCCCAGCAGCTCTACTTCCAGCTTACAGTCTGACTCTGAGGGCTGCCGACAGGCCTAGTGTCCCCTCTGGAGATCCCAGACACGTATCTTGTGGAGCTGTGCCTGGACATCAGAGTCCCCAGAGGCTCTGGAGCACGTGGTGGTGGTGCTGGTCTTCAACGCCGAGCAGCAGGGAGGGAGTGGAGGGTCACAGGCTCCCAGGTGGGAACCCGCCAGGGCGCCACAGCTGTCACTCAGGCCTGCGCTGGCGGCGCTGTCTCCGCCGCTGCACGGCCTGGCGCAGGGCCTCCCGCAGCCGGTCCTGGTTGTTGCAGATGTTGTAATGTGTCAGGCGCAGCAGCTTGTCCACATCCTCCTGGCTGTAGGTCACGTTTGTGTAGTGGTAGGGGGAGTCGGAAGGAGACAGGTTCACCTGCCCAGCCGCCTTCTCCTCCGGTGTCCGCAGCACCCCTGTGGAGAGAGGGCGGTCTGGCAGGAGGCCTGGGGACCCCTGCGCTGAGGCAGGTCTGGAAGGGAGGGGGCCGAGGCTCACCGGGGGCCGAGTGGTCCTGGAAGGAGTCGTTGACCAGAGGGAAGTGCAGTACAGCTGGGGCTTCGGGCTGGGTCGGGTCACAGAACACATGGCACTCCTGAGGCCGGCGCTGCTCCTCAGGGCTGGGCGAAATGGGTGGGAAAGGGATGCCCTGCTCCTGGCAGAACCGGCTCAGAAGCTGCAACTGCTGCTGGGCAGGCAGAGGGGGCATTAGAGGGCCCAGTGTGCCCAGTGCAAGGCCGGCTATACGGAGACTGCGTGGGCCCAGAGTCCCACGGTCTGACGGTACCCTCCCTTCCAGCTCCTCTAGGGCTCCCCTGGGTTAGTGGCCAACAGCCCTCGGAAAGTGGGAGCCATCTAGAAGCATCAGGTATGCCAGGACCTCTTCAGGGTCAGGGACAGTAAAGAGAACCATGGTACAAGACAGGTGAGAACATCCCAGCTACTCAGCACCCCACTCCCAGAGCAGAGCTAACTTTCCCCAGTAGGGGGTGCCACTACCATACCCCTAATGGAAGCTGGGCCAGATACTGGATCCTAAAGCAGGTCTCATTAGGTGCCTAGAAAACAGGCTACCCTAGATGGCCTGCCATCTCCCCAACCTGGAAGGCTCCATGGAGGTTGTAGTCCAGTGACAAGATGAGGTCCACATCCCGTGTTGGCAGCAGAAGGGGTGGGCAGCTAGTGTTGATGAAGTAACCAACATCCAGGAGGCAGAGATGGGGCTCCGTGGGTGTCAGCTGGTTGGGGAACCCATCCAGTTTGGTTGCTACAAAGGTTTGGGGTGGGAGAAGCATCATGAGCTGTCGTTGTGGGTCCAGACCTCTTTAGACCATAGAAAAAGGTCCGTGGTCCCCGCAAATCCTGCCAGAGCAGCACATCCCAGGGAGAGAGGAAAGGGGGTGGGGGTGGAGTGTCCTAAGTTAAGGGACGGTGGAGAGCCTGGACTGAGCAGGGAGAGACGGTGGAAAGGGTACCTTTCCAGGTAGAAAAGCAAGGGTGATCGAAATAGTCCTTGTGGAAATGGAGGCCACGCATGAAATTGTGGGTGGCCTGGGCAAGTGGCCGCTTTGTCAGGAGGTCAGTGAAGAACTCGGCAATCCTGCTGCTGGTCGTTGGTGGTTCTGCAATCTTCAGATGGGGGACCTGCTCTTTGTCTGCACAGGCGAGAGAGGGGGTGACGTTAAGGAAAGAAGGCCTCTGGTCCTTTCTCCCAGTCTCCATGGTTACCCTAGAAGGTAAGCAGTTGAAGTCCACAGTGCCTCAAAGACAAACTCCCAACTGGCTGCCCATCTCTCTCCTGTAGAAAGCCCAGGCACCTACCCAGGCTGGCCTGATCCTGAGCCCAGCGGTCCCAGAACTGGCTGGGTTCAGAGGCCCAGTACAAGCTGTCTTGGAGGCTGGCTGCAAACAGGTTGCTCCAGATACCTGAGAAAGGGGCGTCAAGTGAAAAGTCCTGACTGCTGTTAGTCTGAACCATCCCCCCCTCACCCAGGTTCCCTCTCCCAAGCCCCCCATTATCTAGCCTCCTCACCTTCCAGGAAGCAGATTCGGGATTCGGGGAGCTGCTTTACCAGCCGCCCCATGAAGAACTCGGAGCCGAAGAGCTCAGAGGGGATGAAGGCCCCATACTTGGGAAAGCCGACTTCATAGGGAGAGAACTCACACCATTCTGTGAGGACAACATACACCTCAGCCACGGAGCCTAGGGGCTTGGGCATTCCGACACCCACCAGGGACTTTATTTCAGGCCTTGTAACCCTCATCCCAAGGGTGTAAAGGAGCTAGCTGGCGGGATGAGAGTCTTTGGTACTTGGACCAGGAGACATGGGCGTGAGCTTCACCTCTTAGATACAGGACTAGTTACAGGGTACCCTACCACCCTTAAGAGCATAGGCCCCAGTTCTGAAGCCACTCACCCCCAAATTCAAAGGTGGTCATGCCCCGCTCCTTGCTGTTGAGGGCACAGTAGATAGGCAGAGGGTTCTGGCCTCGACTCAGGGCCTCCCGTTGATCCGAGAGCTTATGTTCATGCGGCTGAGGGAAAGAGGAGCTCGGCCTAAGCCCTCAGCTTCCTGATGCTGGGAGTCTTTCCCACAGATCACCCAGGGATGGGTCCATTTCCAGATGGCTTTGCCTTAGCTTTACCAACCCAGGGCCCACCCCTCCACCTACCTTATCATGCAGCAAGGCCTCATTGATGAGGGCCCACAAGTTGGTGAAGCAGCTTGGGTAGCCCAGGCGGGCACGCTCAGCCAGCTCCTGCCGGTACCTCCACAGCTGGCTGGGGGCCAATGCGCCCAGCTTGCTCTTTGTCACCTGGGTCTTCAGCAACTCGGTGGGCCCCGTCAGGTCCTTCTGAGACCACTCTGGGTCCTCATAGAGGTTGGCCAATGCCCTGAGGAAAGCCAAAGCTTAGGAGGAGGGAATGTGGTCACCGAAGGACCCCATCTGGACTGTACATGTCCTTGACTGACTGGCCATCACTTCTGTTCCCTGGAGCACACTGCGCCCTACTGCCAGCATTTCCCCAGTCCATGCAGTGTGCACAGGGGTCTGTGGGGCTCAGGAAGTCCTTTCACTACATTCCCTCCCGATTCCACCAGCTAGCTGCAGCCCCCAGCACTCAGCCCCCAACCAGCTCACCAGGTAGATCCTGAAGCCCCAGTGATGTAGGAGATGCAGTCCAGGAGACCAAGCTCCCTCAGGCCAGCCAGCTGACCATATAAAGAAGTCATGGCCCGGATCCCACCACCAGTGGCCATAACAGCAATCACGGGGATCTGGAAGAGGAGAGCCAGGTTCAAAAAAGGAATAGAGAAAAGCCACAGTCTGGGAAGAGAACATGATAGTCCAGTGACCAGCCAGTCAAGATGTGATTGAGTCTTGGGACCAGCTCTGAGTTAGCCCTCTTGAGGACCTAGTCAGAAACAACCTCCCAAATGCCTCACTGCTTCAAACATCAGGGATCCAGAAGAATGGCCTAACAAGTGTTAGCCCACACGGAGCCTGAGATCACTTTCTGGAAGTCTCCAAAAGGTCCTGCTCGCTGGCGCTGGGATTCATTCCCCTGGGAGCCAATAAGGCCGGTCTGAACCTCTGGGGACCATTCTGAGCCATCCTCATAGTAGGTGTGTCTCATCAGTCAGGTGGGGGACCAAAAAACACAGGGAAACTCCCATCTGTGAGTTGCAGGTGCCCCATGTATCATCCTGATAACATCGAGGAAGAGGAACAGGGTAGGCAGGGCCTGCCAGGGACAAGCCTGAGCTGACACCAGCTCTGGGCTGCACAACTCTCCCAGCACTGAGGCCTGGGCCTAAGCAGGCATGAGGAACACTCCACCCACACGTGCTCAGCCCCCAGACCTCGTCGTCGTCTTGCAGGTCTTGGTCCAGCTGTAAGGCCTTTTTCAGGGCAGCGGCCACCACCTGCTTCCTCCTGCTTAGAAAGGCCTGCTCCTCAGGGCAGAGCCCACAGTCCAGCCGCACAGCCAGCTCCTTTGGTCTGGGGCGAAGGAAGAGACCCAGAAGCAGTTCTCAGCTCCACCACAGAAAAAGAAACTGGTTCGCTTCACCTGCCAGACCCTTGCTCTCCCCTCCCTTCTCAGTCCTCACCGCCACTTGGGACTGAGTGCACCCAGGGTCGAGGGCTGGGCCCCACTTCCAAGTCAAATCTCTCCCTCACCCACAGCTCCAAAAGTGACGGGGCAGAAAAGAAGGCCCATTGCCCCCACCTATTTGAAAAGCACCCCTCCCTCTTCTGAAGGGCATCTAAAGGTCCTTTCTCAACAGCCTCCAGGCCAGGGGACATCCCTCCCCCTTGCCCTCGTGCCTCAGCCTCCGGCCCTGTCCCTGCCTCCCTGCCTGCTTATCTGGACAGACACTGATCTTCCCAGGATCACCGATGTGCTAGGCAGGGCCCACCCCATACTGTAGCAATCCAAGTGGGAACATTAAGAACAGCCTGTCCACACTGACGCCGCCTCCTGATGCAAAGTCCAATCACCCAGGAGCGCTGCATCTCCCCTCCCCCTACTCCACCAGGCCAGACTGACCTTGACCACCCTGCCCGGGTGCCGCCCCTGCTCTCCCATTCCCCAGGGGGGCTCTTACCCTTCTTCCTTCTTCAGTTCCAGCCTCATCAGTGGCTCCTGGAAACCATGAGTACCATGATCAGAAAGGCTGGCTACTTCCACCCCACTGTGGC